AACACTGCTACTCTGTGGGTGCATTTATCAAAATGACCCGCAGCAGTATGAATGCATTCATTTTCCCAGCGATCAGTGTTTTAATGATTGGTTAGACATGATGGATTGCAGCCTTGCAGTTGGAAGAGGCCTGAGGAACTATCCATCAAAAAATGTGACATTTTGGTATGAATTAAAAATGCATCAGCTCCTGCTCTTATTACATCCAGCAGTATTTACTACAGCAGCTGAAAGCCAGGAGAGGCGTGCTGGTCAGCCTTCCCCTCTCAACTCCCTTATTTAGTCTGGAAAAGAGAGAGGGAGGAGGGGAGGAAGGAGGAGATGAGAAGGGGAAGAGGAAGGAGGACTCTTTATTGTCACAGATGAAACAGATCGCAGCCTGTCTCGCTCTTTTTGTGTTCACAAGTACAAATACACACAAAGACAGAGATGGAAAGTTGACTATAGTTGCTAAAGGAGTTCTTAATGCACTTTACCTTGTGCAGTAATGAATAAATGTCTGAATGAAGGAAGTGAAAAAGCTCTGGGCGTCACTTTGACACATCCATTAAAAGCTACATCTTCTTATAATGAAGAAACATTTCAGCCGCAAATGAAACCCAGAATCATCACTCACCTGACAAATACTGAGTTTTCAATTTCAACACTTTTACTGAGCGAGCAGCAGGTTGTAGTGAGCTTCAGTGTGTGCACTGAAAAAGATTGAGGAAAGAAGAAGGCAGATAGACCAGCAGACTTTTTTCAATGCTGACATTTTCTTTGGAAATTATCACTAAACATTGAACCAAACCATTTAATTTATAACTTAAATCTGGATTCACTGAAACCTCTGAGCCTTAAATTTGTAAAATGGGTCCAAAGGAAAGGAAGCTTGTTTTAAGGCCGAAAGACAAAAACAAGTAAGACTTAGCTGTGGATGCCTCTGTACATGGATGATGCAAACTTATGTAACTCATGTAAAATGAAACCAACACAGTGATTATACTCCTAATATTTATCTTGCATGTTAAAATAAAGGCGTTTTGGAAAGGGGGTTATTATGTGATGTGTATATTATCTTTGAATTTTTGATTATAAATATTTCACCAGGTGTTCCAGCTCTTAATTCGAAAGCTAAAGTGTAGTAGTTTACAGATGTGTACATTACATGTGAAGCTTATTGCATGACAAACACAGCTGGTGCACTGTATGGGAAAAATAACAGTTTGAGAGCATTTATGAATAAATCTGGAGCCAGTTAATATTTATTTAGGCGACAGCGGTGTTGGTGGTCTGATGAAAGACATGCACTGTAACAATATACCTTACAAGGGTTAAAGGGGTTGTTCTAATCTGTACAAGTCGCGTTGATAACCTTGCTTTTTATATTTTAAATAAAGTTATTGTAACGGGAAAAAATCGCAAAGAAATTAGGAAATTTGGAAGGGAAGATCTGCTGTTGACTTTTCAATATTATTCAAAGATATAAAATGTAAAAAGGCATTGATATTTTTGGGGGAAAAAATTGTAAAAACGGATTCTTAAAAAGGAGCCAAGATATTCTCCATGTGAAGAAAATGTTTATTGACCAGTCCACTGGAAATGCACCATAAACATCTAACCAGTTATTGTAAAATCCAATATAATTAAAGGAGAAATCTGGTACATATACATTTTCTTTAAACGTAAAAATTAAACATATATATAAATGTATAATTGGTCTTACTCAGATCGTATCATAGGTCTTTTAATCTATAAATATACAGTAGAAAAAGGCTGTACAGGCTGAAGAATAAACAAAGAGAGGAACTCTAAGATCAGCAGTCATATGATGACTAAGGACTACAGAACAATGTGTGCATCAACAGGGACTTTTTCAGCACTAGTCCACTCTTTCATCCATCTATCCATCCCGAATCCTCCATGTATCAACCTGCTTGTTTTCAGTGTGGTGCTCTCACTTGGCTGGGAGTTCATACTGCTCTCATTCTGTAGTGCATACACACATTCACTCACACACACACACACACACACAGACACACACACTGCATACTCCCTCAGCGTCTGGACAGGTCACCTCCTGTGAAGAAGAGATACAGTAAGACTGATGGTGTCATAACTGATGCTGTTGTTTTCTGTCATAACTTAACACAGACACCAAACAGAAAACTGCCTCCACTGCAGGAAAAAAGACAGAGATCAAGTGTCGCTGAAGCTTTTCATCTGTCTGAACAGAGATGTATGACGAGATGTAAGTGGGAATATCTGAGTTTCTATGTTTGAAGTGTATTAAAAAAAAATCAATTAATCTACAGCAAATGATTTGAAATGCATTTCATTTATCATATGAAATGCATGCACCGAAAGTATATAATAAAATCTGCAGTCTTGTGTGTGTAATGTGTGTGTGAGGCAGGAGAAGGAGCGTCAGATGAGAGATGAGAAAACTTGTAATGGCAGTTAATACGTGTAAGTGTGTGTGAGAGCACGGCCACATGCTATTCAAGATTGATTGCTGTAACAACCAAATCCGTCAGACGAGATGTCCGTGGGAGTGTAGCACTGGGAGGGGAATATGAGCTGGGGGGGATGTTCTGTGTCATATGTGGCTACATCCAATTAACTAATGCAATCAGGCACGTTGATGAATGGATTAGCACATAATTGCTTCAGAGGTGGGATCCTCAATTGAATTATTCATGCTGGGCAAAGGCAAACGTATGTTTGGCTGAGATTAGAGTGTACATGCGTATGTGTGTGTATGTGTCAGCGAATGTCTACGTGTGGCACTGATGGAAAGTGACTGAAAAATTGTAGTAGGACAGGAAGAGACAGACACCTGAACACCACCTGCTGCAGTTGAAGGTATGTCAAGGCAAGTTAGCAAATAGCTACAGGTTGCAGATTAATGGTTGAAACATCAAAGACAAACAGTGAAGGAATCTAAATACAAACACAATTTCAGGATCACTGTCTCTTGTGTGAAAACTAGAACCACCTCCTCATGGTTGTTTCCCTCCCCCACTCAGACTACTTCCAGGTTACATCCCCGTTTATCCAGTCATTAAAATATTAACCATTTGTGTGAAATTTTGTCATAATTGTTGTGTGAAGTCTTGAGTCATGGCTTAAGTATTTTCTAAGGTCACCATGACCTTTGACCTTTAGCCACCAAAATCTAATCATTTCATTCCTGAGTCCAAGTGAACATTTGTGCAAAATTTTGCAGAAGTTCTTTCAAGGCGTTACTGAGATATCATGTCCATGAGAATGGAACGGACGGATGGACGGACAACGTGACAACAACATGCTTCCTGCTCTAACTGTCGTCAACTTTTATAGAATTAGAAGTGTTAAATAACACCACATTTAAAAAGAAACACACCTGGAACATGACAGGTGGAGCTGATCTACATCATACAGGTCTATGGAGGATATGGAGGACCTACTGCCTCATGTGGAAGCTGCGGTTTCCACACCAGTGACTACATAACAACTGACTCACAGCCCCTTCGAACACCTGCTGCTACAACACTGATTGAGGTGGGGGCCCCAATGTTCAAAAAGCACAAGTGTTGCAACTAAAGAAAGAGCTGGGTCCTGTTCTTCAAGAGGAGATAATTTAACTTGATTTCATGGTTGATTTGACATGGCGTAATTTTTAGTTCTTTAAAGCTTCATCAGGAGCTGTTCTAAGAGCAAACATCTCTCACGGTAAAACCTATTAACTCCATACTGTACAGCAGGGGTCTCCAATCTTTTTTACTCTGAGAGATACCTTGACAAAATAAAAGGGGCTGAGAGCTCCTCATGTCTTACATTACTGGTTATATTCATTTATGTATCTTATCAAAACATACATCCGCAACAAGAGGATGAATAAGACCATTTCACAAGTCGTCAAATATCAACATCCAAAACTCACATTTTGTACCAAAAACATCTGAAACTGTCATCAGACAAAAATCTGAGTCATGGTTCAGTCAGACCTGAACACACAGACATGAAACACCACTGCTAATACACCTCCATAAATCTGCTTAGAAACCAGAGAAAGAAGAAGCTCCTCAGTCAGTGATCAGTGATGGTCAGTCAGTACATCCAATGGTACATAAGAAATTTAAAATAGCTAATTCGATACACTTCATTTTCCGAAATGTAAACAAACATGGGCTAAAAAAAAAAAACAGGGTTCATGTTGAAGTTCACAGCTTAACTCACTGTATCCATAGCAACATATTTCCAGTTTCTTGGAAAAGTTTAGTTTATATCTGTTCTGTTATCAGAAGAGCTGCTATCACTGCACGTCGCCTACAGCTGATCTGATGTAAACAAACTTGACATTAACTAATTTGACTGACAACTGACAGATAATGATCTGGTGTCGGTGTCTGTGTATTTGATTTAGTTGCATTAGGAGCAGGTTTACTGAGTGAAGTAAGTGTTGCTTGAAATTGCTTAAAGTTTGAACGTTGCATCTGTGGTTTGTACAGACTATATTCTATGAACCTTTGGGTGAGCTACTGGTAGCCTGCGAGCCACGTGTTGGACACCCCTGCTGTACATGAATTTACTCTTGGTGAAGAATGACTCTTTTTGTATTGATGCCTCTGAAAAACAACACTGAGGTTTCATAGTATAGAACATGTTTAATCTAAATTAGCCAGTGTCACGCCAGCCGACAATGAGCTCAGTTATATGATGAGCACACGGTCATGTGAGTGCTGATCACGGTTTAACTGTTTAACCATGTTAGATATTTCAAAGTAAAAGCACCTTGTAAAAGCTTTGTCTTATATTTTAGTAAAATGCAATGACAATGTTACTGTATTTTTTAAATCATATTCCCTGATTTTCCCTGTTTGGATTTTACATATGGGATTCCCCTGCTGTTCCTCTATGTTTGCTGGGAGCCTGCATGTAAACATATGTCATGTGCAGATATTTTTTCCATATATTTAAATGCTCAGCTCTCACACTGACATGATATATGTACATGCAAATCTGTTTGGCCTCATTCATTAGTCCCCACCTTGGCAACTGGTGCACTCGCAGCTGTGTATGACGGGAAGGACGACCGGCTCGCTCTCGCCGTTCTCACATTGCAGGCTGAGGAAACGCACCGGGTTGTCAGGATCCAAACGGTAACTACAGCACTCGCAAACTGACTGGAGGTACGGCTCCTGTGTGGAGAGAGGAGGAGAGAGGATGAAATTACTAGAGAGGACGATAGACGCAAAAAAAGGAGAGGAGGTGAAAAGAGAACCAGAGGAAACCAGAGAGGAATTCAATTAGGAGATTGGAACATGATAAGAAGGTGAAATTTGAGGAGGAGGAGGAGGAGGTTATGAGACAATTTCAGAAGATGAGAGAAAAGAGTTGAGAAGAGAGAGATGATGGGTGAAAGAGGAGAAGATGAGATAATTCGAGATAAGTTTTAAGGAGGTGAAAGGTTATTGGCAGGACCAACAGGAGGAGCAAGGAGACAAAATGATACAGCAAGAACTAGACTGAGGACAATAAGAAGCTCAAAACAAGGGAGGGGGTATATCTACAGTCACATCAGTCGATTATAAACTATACACATTTGCTGTGGTGCATCTGAAAATATGAAATGGAATAACTCAAAAGATTAAACCTTCCAATAGAAATGACTCCATGTAACAGGCTGCTCGTGAAGCTATACTTAGCTTTTTAGCCTCTTTCAGCTCATTGTTTTGGTGACAAGTGAACTCTTCTAAACCTACTGTGCACAACCAGAAACAAGCTGTAAACACCAAAGTGACATATCATGACCTTGTGAATAAGTTGACACAAATGTTTGCTTGTTTACACATTCAGCAAACACAGAGCAACACTGGATATGATTTTTATTCATCTGATGAATCCAAGTCCAATATTCTCTCTCTTTTAGCTCTGACTTGTTCTCCACCAACTCCTGAGGGAAATATGTGAAAACAGCTGTCTTCTGCAGCTGGAAACAACGCTGCAGAGAACAACGGGACTGAACCAAAAGCAGGTGCAGGTCGTGAACCCAAAACAGTGAGCAAGATGTACAAAGAATCTATAAACGCTAAAACATAATACAAACACAAAATTGGGAATTAGGAAATAATTTTGCATTTTTTGTTGGGATACAAAACTCAGCCTTGGTGCTTTGCATGACAGAAGCTAGAGGCTGTGGCTGTGCTCATGTGTTCAATTAGTCCAGGCGAAGACTCAAGGAGGAGAAAGACTCTCTGCAGTCTCTCCTCCTAGATAACAGGAGGAGAAGGAAGTGAGATGGAGGGAGTAAGTCCAATATCAAAAACTCAAAAACACCTTCAACTTCTCAGAAAAATTGCAGCTTTTAGTGCTTCACACACTTTGAAAAGTCCACAGTGTGTGTGTGTGTGTGTCTTGGACTACTTAAGCTGGTGAAAGGAGCATGAGTATATTCCTGCCTCTTCCCGTCCTGCTGATCAATCAAAAGGGAACTTCTCTGCGCTGCCTAGTCACTGGTTACCATCCTCTGGTTGCCACAGTAACAGGAGGTAATGACACATTTGGCCGAGCTGATGTTTATTTTTACTAATCTCCCAGCATGACTGACTCTATTTTTACAGTGTGAGATGTATGGATGCCAAAGAAGAACAAAGTCACCATGGTGATGAGGTGATGAGCTCGCTGTCTTACTAGGATGAAAAAGACAACAAATGAAGGCAGGAAGAAAAAAAAAGAAAGAGATTCACTAATAGGCTTCACATGTGAGCCCTTCACAGGACTCCCATCCAAAACATCTATATTTAGATCACTGGTGACTCAACTGCTGAATTATGTACCGTTGTTTACCTGTCTTCATGCCATGTGAACACAGGAGGCAGGTCACGTTCTGTCAGCTGTGATTACAGCTGTTAACAGAAGGTAAAACTATCAAATAATCACGTCGCCTTGTTCAAAGACTGTTGCCTGTTCCCTGTTTATGGAAGACGTGAGATTACAGCACATGCCGGTAGCTGCGTGGGGCCAACTGACTTGATTTTGTTATGCAAAAACACAGTTAACACCCTGATGTCAGGTCACGCTTCAGGAGGAAGACAGATGGGAAACTTGGCTGCACAGTGACAGCTAAAGCAATAATCCTGATTGTTTTCTTGCACATTGTGAACACTGTTATTAATGGTGGTTGGTAGCTTTGTGAGGATTTAAAAGGGAACAAATTTGTTCTGCTATTTTTTGGCACTTTGTATCTACATGTTGGTAATTTAGGCCTGACAGACATTTGTAATTAAATGAATATTACAGAAATTCCTAACTGCAGGGGCTGAGCTTGCTCTATATGATTAAACAGTCAGCCCTGATGAGCAGTTTGCGAACAATTACAACCAACAGATTTTTTTTTTCTAACCAGTTCCTTTCAGTCCATTTTGCTCCCTGTATTGATCGTCACTGTGCTACCAGTTGTCACTCATGTTGAAGTCAATACTTGTCAGTGATGCCAGAAGATGTTCGAAGCGTTATATCTTCTCCGTACCTCCAGGATGACATCGGTCCTGGACAGACAGCGTCCCCTGCAGAAGCTGACCTCCACGTTGTCAAGCCGACAGTCTCCCTTGGTGATGTTCCTGACTTGCATGTAGCGACGACACTCTGGCTCGCCTAAAGGAAGCACAGAGAGGAGGAAGGGGGGTGGGTGGGGTGGGGGCAATAATATAGAAGGACAGAGTGAAGGGAGAATACAGAGGGCAAGGAAAAGGTGAATATGAAAAACAAGGTGTTTTTTTTTCTTCTTTTTGTATTTGCATGAAAACGAAGGAGGAAAAGACAAAGGAAGAGACAGCGAGTTCCTTACTGAGAGCACAGTGACATTGCCATGCCCCCTTGCAGCATGTGACATTTCCTCCACTGGGAGAGAGATTAAAGCCCCAACGTAGGCTAAGTAATGTAATCTCTCACTAATTGAGCACCGCAGCACTTGGTTTTTAGCCTCCTATAAAATCAACTATAGAACATTCAAATCCACTGAAATGGTTTCAAAGCCATGACATGAAATAAAGGGAACCTCAGTGATTTTTGTATGTTTGTACAACAAGTGGATTTAAACAACCACAGATGAAGAATCAGTACTCTCCACAGACGTTAGAGATGACAGGAAATAGTCCTGAGGCTGGATTTAAGATGACAACTGAAACTACAGCCACAGAATGAAAGTGTAGCTTTTGTTTTTTAATCTTATACTTGTGTTTAAAATTCATTTATTTTTTTGATACAAAAGTTGGTTATAAGAATGCTCTCAGGTGATTTATTCAGGGAATTGAATGCAAATTGTTTCATTTAGCACTTTCTATAAAGGTCTTCTTGTTGTACAATAAATATACATTTCATTTCTGGATACTTTTCTTGGTGCATTTGGTTTTTGTGATGTGTTTTTTTTACGTTCTGTGTGTTGTACCAACCTGGAAACTGCTTCCTACAGACTGGACAGCAGCTGCCTGGTTCCTCCACCTTGACCTCCCCCTGACAGAAAGAGAGAGACAACATGATTTGCCTTTATAATATTCTTTCAATCATACTGAATGAACAGACATGTGTGTAACACAACAAGCGATGAACAATAAAAAAATTAAAAAAAAATCAAATAATAATGATAAAAAAAAAAAAATCAAAAGGAAGTCGACACTGTGTGAGTTTAATAGGCAGGTAACAGCTATGTTTTGATAGCAGCTTTGATTGGGCATTTCATTATATACATTGGATGGGGAAGAAAACAAATGATGGCCCATCTGGGTGAACCAGAGCCACGATAACAAACCTAATGCAAATATAAAATCTATTAAAGTATTAAATGTGATCATTAATAACATCAATAATTATCTAAAAAATAATTAAAAAGCACTATATACTGAAGAAAGGGAAATTACTTTAAACTAGAAAATATAAAATAGGTGAAAAATAGTATAATCTGAAATGCAACACAGTGAGAATCAGTAAAGCCAATAGAAAAAAAGACCATCACAGAACAGCTCCACCCTATATACAAACACCTGACATAATACATAATACAGTTATGTCTAATGATGTGATTGAAAGTTCCTGAAAGTTAGAAATTGGAGCTGGAGTTCAGATTTTCTTTTTAGGTCAAACAATCATAGAATCAGATGAAAACATGGAGTATATGTTATAAACTTTATTTTAATCAGATTATTCCAGTCCTCATCACTGAGAGTCCTGCTGGTTTCCACTCTAGGCAGTTCAGAACTCATTTCGACATGGGGCACCATGGATCAGGAGGACCAGGGTTGAGATCCAGAATAGAGGAGTGAAGAGATAAATAAGGTATAAATACATATATCCTGATGACACAAGTGACAGTGTGAACAGATGATGAGAGGATGGAGGGAGAGTGACTGAGTATCAGACAGGCAGGCTGCAACAGACAGACCAACCAAACTGATGGGAAAAGCGACAGAAATAAGAAGCAAAAAGTGACACAGAGACCAAAAATAGAGAGAGAGAGCAAGAGAGCGAGAGACAGTGACATAGAGACACACAGGACAAACACAGAAGGAGTGAAACCGCTGTGGAAGAGAGATCCAGAACAGTCCTGAGAAAAGCAGGGTGTCCAGTACAGCTGCTGAGAATAGCTGCTGTTGCAGAGTCTCACACACACACACACACAGTCTGACAGCAGGCGTCACAGCACCCTCAGCAACACCAGCCTCAGCTCACCCCTGAAACTTCCCACAACTCCATTATGTCCACACACACACACACACACACACACACACACACACACACACACACACACACACACAGCTCCTAACTGTTCACCCCGAGGACTTCTCCTCCCACTCTATACTGCCGCCAGCCTTCCCTCAGGGATGGAGGAGCCCACTCACTTAAAGGGTGGGAGGTCACAAAGAGGACCATTTCAAGATGTATGTGTGTATGTGGATGTGTCTGATGTGGCAGGAGGGGGAAAGAAATGGCGTGAAATGTGTATTCTGGTTATTTCAAAGAAAAGGGCACTTGGCATTTTAAGCAAAGGGTAGTCACATTTGTGTCATCTACAGGCTGTGACATGGAAATTGGAGCTGTGGTAATGTGTCTGCCACAGAAAAAAAGAGGGTTCAGTGTTTGAGAGGAAAACATCCTGATAGCTTTTATCACCAGATATAACAACAGAAGCTTCAATACATTACCTTGAAAAGTGGCTCTCAGCAGAGCAGTGGAGGCATGTTGGTAGATTTCAGTTTTAAACAAGCAGCACCATTAACTGTAAGCTGAGTCATGAATAACAGACTGCACTGACAGTAACCAATTCTCAGCCTGTCAGCAGAGGGAACACAGTGCATTAAATGACCTTTTCATATTGGCCGGGATAAGGAGAGCTTTCACTGAGGCATAACTTAGTGTAACTTAGTGCAGCTGGGGATGTGAGGGATTTGAGAATGCAAGCACAAATAGTTATGGAGGTTTGAGCCCCTCCAGAGATGCACTGCAACGGCACAAAGACCTGTATACACCACAGGTGGAACACTTGGTAGACTGTCTGCTTTGCGGAGCTCAGTGTGCATTCACCCTCTCCTAAAAGTACTGGATGTAAGCAGATTTTATTTTTACCCTGGCCTTTATTCAGCGCTGGTGTGCTAAAGATATAAATTCAGCTTTCTGTGTCAAGGATGAGACAGTCGACTTTTCTACTGTGACTTTCTTCACTTCACCACCATGGAGAGAAGATTGTTTTTCATCAATAAGGTCTGCTGGTTCCTTAATCGTTCTTTATGTAAGTTTCATTCACCCAAAATGCACAAAACACATTTTCTCACTTAACTTTTTGAATCTAGAGATTTAGATAATTTTGCATTTATTTTTAACAAGGTTTCTTTGAGATAAGAGAATGAAAGAAGAAAATAATCCACATAAAGTATGAATTAATTCTTGCTGTCCTTGAGAGAGGTAGAAATGAATCAAATAGATTTTGATTCAGTTTTGAGTGAAATATTTCAACAGCTACTAAGTGGAGCACAATGACATTTGTATAAACATTCATGTCTCTCATTAGAATGAATTGTAGTAACTTTGGCCATCCCCACCTTTCCTCTAGAGCCATTATTTAGATCAAACTTTTTATTTGTCCAATACTTTGGTTTATTACCAAACGACTGCAAAACTATTGACCACCCCATTAGTCTCAGGGTTAGGGTTTGGCATTTCATTCGTGGTCTACAAACCACATTGTTAATTGCTTTCATTACTATAGAAACAGCATCTTGACAGTGTGTTCTTTGGATTATACAGAGAAACAGGGACACAGTTTCCAGAAGGACTTGTTGCTGTTGACTTTTTGAGATGTGAGTTTTTTGTGCTGTGAGCATCTCAGGTGAAAGTGAGTTTACCTTGATTGTTTTAGGACGGTGACATAAATCTTGGAGATGGATACATCAAAACTATCTGCATGGCTAGATCCTCTAGATAGTGAGTGGTTTTATATATAAAGTATAGACTAGTTTCAATTCTTTTTTAAAATCAACACGCCTCAGTGGGACGTCACAAACTGTTTATTTTCACATTGTCCTCCTCTGCTTCTGCAGGACTGGATATAATCTGTATTTATCCAAGACCACACGCTCCACCTGTGTGACGGACTACAAAAACTGATTCATATTTTATGGGGAGTTTACTTTTTTCCTCTACTGCCTCCAGTAGTACAGAATGCATACATAATTGACTGCTCAGGTCACTGAAATGGCCTCCTGCAAGCCGTTTACCACCCATGTGTATGACTGAGCATTGTCTGTGTGATAAAGGCAAAGTCAGTTTTTTTCTTTCAGGGGGCCGTGACCAGCAACGGCAAGCACGCACTGGTACCTGTAATCTTCCATGCCTGACAATACAATTACACAAACCATATACAAAATGTGCCTTACAATACACACTGTGTGTGGTGCCATTCATTTTGCAGAACAGGTCTCAGCTTTGTCAACAAAAAGTGGATATGTTGCACTGGAACGAAACTCAGTAAAGCTCAGTAAACGATTAAACCGGGAGTCAGTGTTTCGCGGGAGGTAAAAGGGCACTGTAAAGGAAAAAGTGCAGGCTTGTGGGAGGATCGGACAGTCAGGTATTGATCTGCTTCAGCCAGAGACTTGCAGAGAACATCCCACACATTCTTGAGGGAGCAGAGCATTTTCTCCCTCGCGCAGAGTAATTGAGATGTTTGTGACCACCAGAGTCTGTGTGAACTGTACCACCCCGGGGGTAACAGTGGCAGCTGAATGGACTGATGTGCTCGCCTGGGAGACTGATCGTGCCTCTATATGAGAATCTCTATGTCTGTTTGGCTGTGAGAACAATCTAATTTGCAAAGACAGACACCACAGAGAGAGTTATTATGATTCATATACTCCTCCTCTAGTGACTGCATCCAGTAGAGTACCTTGATTTTTCAGGTATTTAGGATTAGCTATAAACATTCCTGTTTAAATAAGCAATCTAAAAACAGTTTCTCAAGTGACTTTCCAGAAAAATGTCCACATCAAAATATAATAGTATAAGCAGTGTAAAAGGGCATAATATATTATGTATAATATATCCATATGTTATGGATTTTATTCATACCACCCCTAGTGCCTTTGAATATAGGATACTGGGAAAAAATAAATATCACATTCTGGAGAAAACATACAGAACATATAGAACATACAATCAGACAAATGTTGGTTTAGTCTGGAGTGTCAGTATGTGTTTGTGTGTCTCACCTCATCACAGTGGAGTGGAGGACACCTCAGCTGGCACAGTTTTTTCCCGTTGACACAGCGGCACGACGTGCAGCCCTCCTCCCACTCTGATCCTGCCTGGCTCACACACACACACACACACAGACACACACACACAATATTTATATTCACTTCCAGGTACTGTGATCATGCCTCAGCAGCATTACTGTCTCTGTCAGAGCAGGTTTTAATAAAGTAAAACTGGTCATAGTTCAGGATCTATTTCCTCAGTGAATCCTCGAAAGCTCGGGCTGTTACAATGCAGTAACTAGAATACACACTACATTATATATTTGTGTGTGTGTGTGTGTGTGTGTGTGTGTTAGCTATGGGAATCATTAACAGTGCTTTTACCCGTACAAAATCACCCACTCGGGAGTGCCTTTGTTGCTCACATTGAACCATTTGGCATAATAATCATGAGGCGGTTGATTAGAAAACCATAGAGGGCCTTTATATGGACATTAGTCATCTCCAGCCGACAGAGAGACAGAGAGAGAGAGAGACAGAGAGAGAGAGAGAGAGAGAGAGAGAGAGAGAGAAACAGAGAAGATGGGCAGACAGAATGACTGAGAGACAGGGGGAAAAGAAAGAGAGAGAGGAGGATTGAGGGAGAATCGGGATAAAGAGAAAAGTGATGGAGAGACTTAAAAATACTGTAAAGAAAGCAGAAGAGACACTGTGACCGATAAAGCAGAGGGATGAGAGGAAAAAGAAAGAAACTAGAAAATGATATGAGTAAGATACAGGTCCGACGAAGGAAGATCAAAAGGGGTGGGAGGGTATGACCTCTTGTCAGTGTATGATTAATTTCTATAATCCTATAATATCCCCTCCTTCATAAATAATTCCTGGCAGGCTTGCCCAGTTGCGGTCTGAGTGCTGGCTTTCTACGGCGCTTTCTACATAATTGATGAGGCTGAGGCCTGGAGAGGCATTGTGGTGTAATGTGGCCCGCAGGGCATGTCACTCATCTTCTAATAGGCCATTCTTTATGAGTAAATAACACAATGGGAGTGAATGGGAGGGAACGTAAACACCATGCTCATGGTAAGGTTCAGACACAAGCCACAATGAGGCAGCCACAGCGGGTACAAGCTGCCAAGTGAGCTGGGCAGCAGATGTCTGTTTACTTGGGTCTAAGCCGGAGCGTGTGTGTGTGTGTGTGTGTGTGTGTGTGTGTGTGTGTGTGTGTGTGTGTGTGTGTGTGCTTGTGCATATACCTCTCGTAGGATGCCCTGGTCATGGCAGGGGCAGAGGGCGGGGATGACACACACGCCCTCCGTGTTTCGATAAAGCCCCTCCTGACACACGCAGCCCTCCACAGAGTGACTGCAGTTGACAGGAGAGGAGGAGTAAATGTCCTGGCAGCTCCTCTCACACAACAAGATCTCCCCCGACACGCTCCTCCTCCACTGCTCCCCGTCAGGACAGGCTGCAGAGGAGGAGGTGAGGGACAGGTATAAGATGAGTGAAAAAAAAAAGGTGTCAGGGAAGAGAGAGAAAATAGGAAGAGGAAGAAAGATGAGACAAGATGGTGGGATAAAGGGGAAATTGAAAAAATAAGATAATGTAATGATGAATTGTTGGAGGCAAGGGAGTAGGGGGAATCAAAAGGTGCATTAGAAGGTATAGTATTAATCATGATGACAATATTTTTTTTCTCTTGCTGTGATATACATATTATATTTAACATTTAAAAAAACTTTTATAGCCATAGTAATAACAGATGGCCTGTCACGCTTTGGATTTCTCTGAATTTCCAAGAGCTGTGGTAAGACTGTACAGAGTAACTACACCCAATCTAATAATGTCACTTTCACTGACAACTACTGCTGGTGACAATAGGCTTTTTCCAATCCTGTAATGTAAGCTGCAAGCATTAGCATGCCTTGTTTAGTAGCTAACATTTTAGTGACTGGGTGTTTCATCCAAGGCAATTGAGCAAATCATTAGCAAATTATATTATTAGCAGGTTATAGGTTATGTTTAAAAAGCCCCATTCACGACTAGCATGTCTACTGTGTAGTATTTCCCTATTGACTCCAGGATGATAGCGTGTAGGCTAATGTTAGTGGCTCTGTCCTGCTCTGTATTGGTCCAGCAACCCCTTCCAGAGGTACTCAAGATATGACATTTGCAAAACACATTAGGTAATGCTAATCATAAAACCTTCTCTCTTATAAAGTTGAAATCAAAAGCTAATGTTAAGCTTAGAATGAAATAACAGTCTGATTTTCTTTATATTTTTAATACTATGACTAACAAGCTCCAAACTGCAATACAAGAACAATAATGTCTCTTTTTTCCATGTCTCCTACATGCATCATGTGGTGAAGATGTTGACGTCTTGCCTTAGCTTGAGCCTTGGTCTTCTAGCATTATACCATGTATATAACCATGAAGTGCATGTTTACAAGCATTTTATAGCTGTCTCATTTCAAAATGAGTCAGCTGGAAACATTAATATATAAAATCAAGTAAAGACAGTGTGTTCTCAACCAACTCAATAAGTTAACACTGGCCTATAGCTAATACAAAATCTACCAGATAGACAAGAAGATCCTGCTTTTGCCAACCTCCTTCTGAAATGAAGACCCCATTTTGTTTTGAATTGTGAAGAAATTTTCGTTGTAAACCTGCTACTGTGAACTGCACGTTTCGTGTGAAAATGGAAAACTTTTGGAAATCATTTTGTTTTTTCTTCTCTTCTTTCCCATTAATCGTCTCACAACCCGACCTGTAGGTTGGGAACCACTGGACTTAACTAACTGGATATAGCGTAGTTAACACTAGCTCCACCTCGAGCAGCTACAACATTAAAGTGTAAATGTAAAAATGCACTAGTCACGTGGCGAATGAGTACTTTTAAACTTTGCATTTAGCTGATGGGACCTTTGTACTTTTATTTAAATAGGATTTAAATAAATGACTTTTACTTAGGTAAAAGATCTGAATCCTTTTTCCAACTTTTTCTAGATTTTGCTCATATTACTGCTTGTGATGATGAATAAAACAGGCCCCATCTCCTGTCTTCTCACTCACCACAGTCAGGGGCCATGCAGGTTGTGGTGCGGTGGTCGGGGCCTTCACATGGGGCCCCTCCATACTTGCTGGGCTGCAGGACAATTCTGGTGGAGCGCTGTTGCCCCGTACCACAGCTGGCTGAGCAGGGACTCCACTGGGACCAGCTGGACCACATACAGTCCACTGCAGGAGGAGAGTGAGGATGGTAAAAGAATATAAAGAAACACTTTCATCCAACTGTTATTTCTATTTTCAATTACCTGCTGATGTTAAGCAGCATATGGAAAAAAAATGTGATCTGAAAACTTTTGCTCTGCTCCCCCAGGAAAACAAAATTACAATCACACCAATAATACATCAGTTTATATTAAGGCCATTCTTTAAGTGCAACATCCTCTGGGAGTGATCCTGAAACAGGCAATGCAGCAAATCCCCCAAAATCTACAAAGATAACACTAAACTAGAGACAATATTGTAATTTTTCTTTTCTAAAAAGATGATAATCAGACTTAGATTTGGTTTCAGAGAAAGTTAGTAATGTAAAAAGAGGAAAGGGAAAGAAAAAGGCCACAGATAAACAAAATACTTCCTTCTCTTTGAAAGTGGCAGGGTATGTCAGGGGGTCAAAGCTAAATTTCTGTATTCTGTCAACGAGGTTCATAGTGTCATATTTTTATTCATTATGACTATTGATCATGACAACATTTCAGTCACCAACTCCATTGTAGAAATTTGGGAAACGCAGCCTCTGGTAAGAACGGTGTGGACTGAGGCAAAGAGTATGAGCCACCTACAGCGCCCCAAAACAGAACTAACTTCTTGATCAACTTTCAGGGTGACTCCCTCATTGAATCCAATGATGCATGGTTATTTCCACTATGCTAGTGGGAGAAGGGGGCTCATTTTTGATTTTGCTCTTGTGCATGCTAAGACGTGAGAAGATGGTTCTCGTCTCCAACAGCAAAATAAAGGACATGGTGTGTTTTTAATGATAAAAGGGAGACTAATTGCTCCACAGCTGCTCCACTGTTCAACCACAAAGATTGACAGTGAGCTACTTCCTGTGTTCCCTTTCAGTTTACTCAGATTTGTTTGAGGTGATTTTTGATAAAAGAATTTTGGTTTAATTGAATTGATTTTTATTATTTCATTACTTATCCACAATTAATTATTTCTAGTGTCTTTTACTGTTTTTTTTTTGTTTTTTTTTTAAGTTAGTTACAAGGCAAGACTGGTTTACACACCTGTGTGCAATCACCATTTAGCAGATGAGCTGTTGTCACATAGTTAAACCTTTGGCCAATTGCGCCTTCGAAACCTGATGAAGCAATGAGTAAAACACATTGCTCTAATCAGTGTGAATAAAAGATTCTTCATCATATTTACTGGTTGAGTGTATTGTCACTACCACAAACGCCTAATGTTTATTTTTTCTGACAATGTGATTCTGTTAAATTTAAATCCTACAGAAAGCTGTAGGAGGCATAAACCCCAAATAACTCCATTCTACATTGTTCTTCACAGAGTTTGTGTCCCATAATATCCACCATGAAGGTTTTGATTAACATGCTAACATGACCAGTAGTTATAGTGGCCAAAAAAAAACAACACCCAGGTTGACAGATACTGAATTTCCCATCAAACTATATTTAAACTGCTCTCTGGCATTTTCAAATCCAGACAAGAGAGGAGGCAGGACAAGGATAAAAGGCATTGCTGATCAAATGATGACAGATAAAACTCCCAGGTCAAATCACAGAGCTCTTTAGGTCTCTTGAGAGGATGTGAGTGGTTGTACTTTATGACACTCTTTCTCCCCACTATCATTCAGCTCTTTCTCCCCCCTGCTAGTTTAAGATGTTACCGCATGTTTACCAAACAAAAACCCAGTAATAGCTTTCGCAAGCTGTGATCAATGTGACTGTCACTCAGTTATTTGAGCCAACTGCTGTCGCAGCTGTTACTAACTATGGATAGGTTGATATATCTATCATAGTCCTGACAGTTCAACCAAAGATTATTGTTGCTGGCACTTCCATCGCTAAAAGAGAGAGGCCTCTATAAAGTGAAAGAAATGCAGCTGTGACGGAGCATCACTCACCATCACATAGCTCTGAGGTGCAGTTGAACACTCCACCTTGGCAAACACTGGATAAAATCAGAAAAAAGTCAAGTGACTGAAGTAGGATAATAGTAAAATAGTTGACTTATTATCTTACTGAACAATGAGACAGCAAACTAATCATCATGTCACACAACCGAGCCTATCAGACTATATTAAATGAGTATGAAACCACTGAGGAAGATAAAATGACTTACGGCATGTCTGCTGCAGGCCAGACTATCTGTTACAGTAGATATCATGGTACCAAACTGGTTTGTTGTTGAGTGCATAGTTTGACTGAGACAATGAAATTCAACTCTGATGGTGTTTCACAACATGTTCAAAAATTAACTCAAAAGGTGATTTGAGTAGCTTTTTTATTTCAAAATATCAGTGTCACATTAATTTGTGATATCTTTCATCATAAATAAATCAGTCCAGGATAAACCTGAGTGTCACTGCTTGTCGTCGTTAAAACCACAGTTGTGCATATTCTCTCAAAGATAGTTTATTACTTCTATATTTTGCTTGAAGGTTTTTGAAAGAATGGTTTTCATAGGACTTTAATTTGTTCTACCGTCTCTTGAGAGACATTCTGTTAAACTCCTTTTGTGCAATAAAGTAAAAAGGCTTCTTTCAAAATCCATTCTCTCCAAGTAGAAAAGCTGAGAATAATGTGGCATTGTTACAGTAGAGAAAAACATTTTAGAGAGGAGGATGGGGTAGATGTGTGCACAGAGTGTCCTACTTAAAGGCTGCAGTTTGATTCCCATCTACTGATGAGCAATGTTGACTTTTCTGAACCAGGACCACGATCGACCCCTAAACTTAACCAAGCAGTTTTATTTGCCACCATGGTAGAAGACCAGAATGGTAATGCTAATATAGGCTGTTTTGGAAGGTGACTCATGTCTTGACAATGATGACTATGATAATATAGTTTTTTCTACTGAGATTAAAATGTTGCATGTGGGACTTGAAATGTTTTTCACAGACTGAGCATATTAGAAGTATTTCAGTAACATGTCATTGTAAAGTCATCTGTGTGTATTATCAGTGGTGCATTTTATATCTTTCATTCAGAAAGTTAAATTAAAAGAGATTAATAATTGTACAGTACAAAAGCTAGACAGATATAGGACATAAAAAAATAACAGTCACGTACTGTACTAAAATGATATAAATAAAAGACCCAGATGAAGAATTGACTCAAATAAAGAAACAAACAGGTTGTATTACTTAGAAATGATTTCATTAAAAACATATCGAAAGCTATTTTTTTTTTTTTTATATTGCCTGAGGAACACATGATGCTGCATGTACTGTGTGAACTGATGACAATCTAAATGAATCAGTTCAGGAGGGAATGCTCTCACTGCAAGGCAGACTATGCATTACAACACACACCTACAACAATTAATCACAAGGTAAATTATTGTCTGTTTCATGTGGACATTTAATCTACTTTCAATAATAGAATTGGGCGCCTGGGAGGACAGTTAGATTGATGAAGAAGCACAGCCACTGTTCAAATGTGCCACGATGTTCTTTACAAGGGATGAATGAATACACACATTAATATGCAGGGAAAGACAAGCGTCTGAGGAAATAAAAAACTGAGGCACTGGTGAGGAAAAAAAAAACAAAAAACTTTGAACCACCTCACTGTAAATGTCTCAATAAAAGAAATTTAAATTAGTGCAGTGGTCTCTCAGTGAAAGTCAGGTTCAAGTTCACTGACCACACTCAGCCATACCTCCCCATCCACCCTGTTTATTAAGAAAATGCACTTTATATTTTGCACTCACCTTTGTCTCCAGCCAGGAGAATTTTTATGAAGTAGAGTTTCATTTCAGTTTCTCTTCCCCACTGCAGCTTTCCTTTCTATATGCCCTTTCAATACTATTTGCACATTCTCTTTAGAGGCAAAATTTTTTTCTGACAAAACCCACATGCTCACGAACTGCATGAACTTTAGTAAATCCAGTAGAACGCATGGCCAACCATGCTTATCATATCTGCTCCTGTTCTTTGAGCTCCCCACTCCTAAATGCATGAAGGATTAGAGGCATAGTCTGAGAGTCAGTTACTGTGCTTCAGTTCAGAGGACGTATTTTCTGAAGTCTGCATAAAGCATTTCCTCATACAACAGGCAGCCTTCTGAAACCTGAATCAGGACAGTATGCTACAGTCCACTGAGTGGAGGTCAGTTGTTTATTGTTTCCTCATTAAGTAGAAAAACCATGTGGCTGTGACATATTTACCGACAATTTGCACTCAGGTGATCAGCTCCCATTGAAAGGGAACATGGTCACAGACCTTACATGTTGATGAGGGCCACCATAATGCTATGTATTATAGGTCTGTGTGATGCTAGATTCTCATTCTGGGAGGAGGCACAGGTTCAGCCTGTCCCCTAAGGACCCTCCTTCATGGACCAAATCCACGATCCAGCCTCTGACAGTCAAAGCTACCTCAGCAGGCCAGATCCAGGCCAGGTGAAGGGCAGTGTGGCTGCTCACAACATGACTGTGGTAGTTAAATCAGTGAATGAATAAATGAAAGTGTGTAGTGTATTACCATGTATTGCAGAGGTGCTGAATGGCTGTTCCAGGTGGCAGCAAAGCTTCTGTGATCCCCATGGTGCTAATATTCAAGCTTTGGTAACCAGTCGGCAGGGAGAGCGCTGAACAGGGACAGTTAGCATGGGACACACACAAGCCTCCATACAACACCTATGAGGAACACAGTGAACACAACTGTTAAGAATGAGTCCTGCTATCCAACCACACACAGATACACACATACTCACACACAAACAAAAAGGGATGTACAGACTTGTCCAGAGGGGCAGTTACACCCAGGGGTGCAGGGTCCAAGTAAACACTGAGTGTGTGGCCACAGATCCTCGCAGGTATATGGGCAGGAACCAGAACAGTCACTGAACACCTGCCCGCTGGGACACTCTGCAACACACATACACAAATAAACATCCAATGAATTGCATCATGTCTCATATATAGTTCAGTACACAGACAAGTGTATGTTTTTTTTTCTCTGTGCATATTTTGCAGTCTGTGTCTGCAGAACAGATTGGCTCAGATACATCTGAGGTCACACCTTTGACTGCAAATCACTATAAATACACTCAATGAAAATACCACTTACGAGTTGCTTGGTAACCACTATTTAACTATAATTCAAGAATTATATTGCTCTGTGGATAGATAATATGGAAATGTGCTATATTTACTATATTTACACATTCAATATGGTGTGTGTGTGTGTGTGTGTGTGTGTGTGTGTGTGTGTGTGTGTGTGTGTGTGTGTGTGTGTGTGTTACCAGGCAGGCAGCTGTCTGTGTTACAGACAGTGTGCTGTTCAAGTGGTCCAACACAGGCCATGCCACCAGGTTCTGTCTCTCTAAGGACTGTCTTGTTCCGTGTTGACAACCCACCCCCACATGTAGCACTGCACTCACTCCAGGGTGACCACTCGCTCAACAAACAGCCCACTGGAGAGAGGGAGGGAGAATGAAGATGGAGGTTTTACAGGTGAAAACCTAGAAAACCTTTTGCGTGCATTTGGGCATGTGCTCTGTCTCAGACCTGGACATGATGGCAGGTCACAGCTCTCTGTCTGTGAGGTTTCAGCACAGGGAGGGCCGCCCTCTTTTTCCTGGCAGAGGCGTGTCCTTGTCCTCTGGCCTCGCCCACAGGAAGTTGAGCAAATGCTCCATGGGCTCCAGGGCTCGTACACGGGGCAGGGAAGCTTGGTGCACACCAGAGTGCCATTCTCACACACACTGTAGACACGGGGTGTTTGGAGAGGTGAGATAAAAACTTGATCTAATGCTTAGAGGAGAAGTAAGGTATCTAATTTGTAGAGGCAAGAAAAGGCCATAAAGTCTGAAAGTCATCAGAGCTGGTGAGACACGCTCCACTAATATTACAGATCAATTTGGACAAACTTTTTCCTACAAGCTCAAATCATTGTAATTTTCGCCTTTCACTTTCCAAAAATTAAAAATTAAAATTCAAACAAAGATTGTTCTCACCAGGTGTTACAGTCCACGGTAAGCCCCTCTTTAGGGATGAACTCCAGTGTCCCGTTACCTGATGGGATACCACAGCGACACTCCGTCACTGGCACACATTGACCGTCCTGCAACAGTTGTCCATTCGGACACCGACAACCTGAGACAAAAGAAAGACAGAAATAAAAGAAATAGGAAAATAGAGAAACAGATACTTTGTTTTTTATTTAGAAGAATCTACTCTTTGTTTAAGGGCTCAGATTTACCTGCATGACAGGCTCCTTGCAGACACTGAACATGCTCCCATAGGTCAGTGCAGCTGCGAGGGCACTGATTGGCACAGCTCTCTTGGTACATCCGTCCCCTATCCTCACAGCGCTCACCTAGGAAACAGGAAAACAATTCAATCAGGCAAAGCTCACTGCATATGCTGTAAAACTTGTTTTACATTTTTGTGAAATTTTTGCCATTATTTGATAGATGCTGGAAAGATGGCACAGTAGAATAGGTCTTTTTCTCATGACCCACAAATTGCTGGTAAGATTCTAACTGCCTTTAAGTCTACCTGAGTTTAAAATAAAGGATCGTTGTACCTGGGCAGAGCCCTGTGTTGCAGCTCTGGCTCTGGGTCTGTTGGCTCTTACAGCTGGGTCCCAAAGGAAAGGCCAAGGGCCGCCTGAAGCGCTGCCTCACTCCACCGCTGCATGGCTCCGCACAGGCCGTCCAGGCACTCCACACACTCCACTGACACAGATCTATAAGAGTAGAGTGATTATCACCAGCCTCAAGTCTATTTTCATCCTAATTATAATGATTGTAATTATCATGATGGCTGCTGTGATAGCTGTAATTGTTGTCTTCTCTTCTGATGATTCTCATTATCATCAACAATAACAGAAGTGTGTTTACATGTACAGGCTTCTTTGAGCTGATGAGATTTCTGATTTATACGTTAGAGATGAAAAGTTTGTACTATTTATTCAGAGTAAATAAAATCTTTGTTCATCTTCACTCAGCAGCTCAATGATCTGGATCCACTATAATGAAATACAAGACTTCAAATACTTGACATGCAAATCAAACCTAAGGTCCATTGGGCATGGTAGTAATGCAGAGCTATTCCCATTCATAACCAAAGGGGAAGGGCTGAGGAGAATGGAGGACTGATAGGACTGAGCTCAGGATGAATCATTCGTTGCTCAGACAACACCCAAACCAATCAACTTCATACGTCCCCACAGAAACATGGACGTTTAACTCTTCCTTTCTTCAAATCCCTTTTCCATTCTCATTCCTTTGGGGAATAATGAGAATGGGGCAGTGGGGATGCACAATAACATTTTTCACTGTGAATACTGATTGCAAGCACTTAAACTGTCCACTGATGGTATTTATCAATCTACACCGGCAGCAGTGAAGTGACACACAATAAATATCCACACAGAAACCAGTGGGATCCTGGTACCACACTTTTTAGATTTTAATTAGAGATTCTGCGTTGTCAGAAACCTGGTCATTCTTTCCTGTTTACGATGCATCAAACTGATGATGAATCTGCCAAAATTCACTCTAACTGAACAAAGATAAAAACATAAATAATTGTTATTGGTGCCAAAGAAGGAGAACTGAAAATCATTGGTGTAATGATAAAGATAAAGAACCAAGTGAGAAATCTCAGTGTAGTCAAAAACCTAAATTTTAAAATCCATATGAAGCCAATCACAAAAATCAGCCTACTATCATTATAATAAATATGGTAAGAAGTAAAGAATCAGTGTCTCAGAAAGACAGAGGAAAAACTTGCTCTTATCTTCAGTTGACTGCTGTACAGGTCTCTCTGACAAGTGGATCAGACAGCTGCAGCTTATTCCTTCCTCAGACCAAGAATATGAATCACATCAGTCCAGTTCTCAGACCATTGAACTGGTTTCCTGTGTGCCAAATTACTTGCTTTAAAATACTATATATACAGTAAATACTATATATATAATAACATAGCACTGAATGGTACTAAACAAAGAGAAGCAGCATTCAGTTTTTAAGCAGCACAGCTCTGCTTCATCTCTCTGTTTAAATATAAGGTTTAAGAGTATTTTATTTGCTTCTGCTTTTTTAAATCAAATTTGAAGACATTTACTCATATCTTTCACAGCACTCCTGTTTATTCTGCTTTATTCGATTTTCTTTTATTAATCTTTATTTTATTCTTATAAATCCTCTTTAGATGTGTCTCTTTATGCTGACTCCAGTCTCTAATGCAACCTACCACCTCTTTATGTCTTATGTAAAGTACTTTTGAATTGTCTTGTTAAACGATGCTACACAAATAAATTTGACTTTGACTCTACTCATATTTCAAAAGAAAATTATCCTTGAAGTCAATCGAGAGTCATTTCATCACCACAGTAACTGTCACAGTCACTCTGACCCAATCTGTAATTCATGTTTTTGATGATGCCATGCCATGCCAAGATGCCATGCTTATCTAGCTCTGTCTAGTTCACTGGGTTGTCTACATGAAATCTTTTGTTGGGAGCAAAGTGTCATATTGTTGCAATAAGCTGAGGGGAACTGAGATGGAGCCAAACTGCCCAATTCATTATTTTCTCTCACTGTGAAGTTAAAGAAGGAACTGGAGCCTGACGAAGGGATACTGAGGAACTGTCTGCATTTCTGGGCGAAGATAAGAGTGAACTATTACCTTTACAGATGTTAGCATCTGGACAGAGCCTCTCCTCTACCAGCGGTTCTGGACATTGGCTCTGCCCCTCCTCTCTAGAGACTGGAAGACCAGAATCAAGGTCCAAACAGGCCCGGAAACGTCTCTGAACTGAAACCATTTTAGTGCCACTGATAACCCCCCCCCCTTGGAGAGTGCTGTGCTGCAGGGATGAGGAGGGCACACAGGGAGAGCAGGGAGTCCACTCTGACCACTCGCTGCTGATGACTGAAAGAAGGAAAGACAGAGGCAGGGTACCAGGATGAAGGAGTTGTTCAAGATGGAGCTCTTTTCATTGCTCTGATTACTCTGCTTTCTTACCTTCACACTCTCTCATGTCACACTGCAAAGTCCCATCATGGCAAAGGCTAGAGGACAGAACAGCCAAGAAACAGATTAGCAATATGCCAAAATGAGTCAAAGATCCCAGATGACGTAAAATAGATAAACGGATGAGTTGAGAATGAGTAAATAGTGATTAAAACCAAGACCAGCACGAACGATGAAGATGCAGCACAGACATAGGTGTAGCGATGGCAAAAGTCCCTTATTATGTATTTATCCTATATTCATGCAGTGTTTGGCACAGCTGCCTGAAATGATGCAAGAGTGCTGTTACAGACAACAATAGGCCATTTTTTTTTTTTTTAATAGCACGGCTCTAACCAGGTACTGCAGCCTATGGTGACTGTGGCCCCCTGAGGGACAGTAACAGGTGTAGGTGGTTGTCCTGGAGCTTGGTGCTGCAGGTGGACGCAGCCACATTCCTCTGGAGGAACACAGCTGCCGTTCTGCTGCAGCAGGCCCTGGAGGGGAAAGGAAGAAATGGCTCAGTGTTAGTTGAAAAGTATAATGCTTTATGAATATACAGTAGATGAATCTGTTGATAAATGTATTTGAATAACTGTATATACAAGGAAAAAAACCCAATTATTGAACATAATTTAAAAGTAATCCATTGTTGTTAAATGAATTATGGTTACTGGTGTGTTTTACACCCCCAGTAATCTGCTTTCTATTCCGTATTTCATTATCTCCCCTCCCCTCTGCTGTATGGGCGTATCATCAGTCTATCAGAGGGGTCCTCAGGTTTTTGTAATAAATCAAAGCTGGAAGCTCAGAAACTAGGCCAAACAACATTATAAAATTGTCATCACAGCTCATATCAAAGTGATGTATTAACAACAATATGTAGCACAGAATATTACACTTTCTGAAGTCATAGCAGTACATCTTTGCCCTGGTCTCATACAGCTAGATAAATACCTTTGATGTGACATTAGAGCTATTGCTGTCTACTTGTCCAGCCAAGGCCCAGTTTTACATTGATTAAAGTATATGTAGCTATTTCCACATACAGATTGCAATGCTTTCAGAATCATGTTTCCAAAATGTTTGTCACTTCCTAATTACAAATATAAATAAAAGCTCTACATCACAAATATAAAGTTTGTAATAACTGTTAGGACAAGGGACTTTTAGTGCCAGAAAGACTGTTAGAATAATATCTAAATATAGAGTGTGCACTGCAATGTGTGTGTGGAACATGTCCAAAAAAGAAATATCACATTATGTGACAAATTTGATTAAATTTGGCGTCCAAATGACCAGCAATCAAGAATGTGCCTTTAGGTTTACAGTATCAAGATTAGGCACAACTGCCATCATGGTTTTAGGGTTAGGGTTAGTTTTGACATTGTTAGAATGACCCAGTTCACTTTATTGAGAGTAAAAAAAGTGTTACTTCTTCTTCCTGTATATACGATAAAGTAAACTAGGACTAATGAAAAATTTACCTGTGGGCAATAGCAGCCTGGTATACACTCCCTGACCCCTAGACACAGATCTCCCTGGGCCTGCAGTGCACACTGCTTCTCGCAGGGCGCACCACAGTCTGAGTACACGAAGGGGGCTTCACAGTCTACAAACAGGAGAAAAAAACACAAGAAATGACTGTAGTTCCTGGACATTATCAACATGTACAAAGTCCCACACACAGACACACACACTCACCATCACATTGACTTCGGCTGCATGCCCTGCTCTGTGTTTCAACAGGAGTGCACTGTTGCCCCCTGGTGGCTGGGGTGAGAGCTACACGGTAGCGCTGCTGCCTCTGAGACACACAGGAGCACTGAGACCAAACACTCCACTGCGACATGGGACAGCCTGGAGAAAAAAAACAAATCAACAAGTCTGGTGCAGCACACAGGTTTAAACAAACACTTCATGGTATTTGTGAAGCACTACTTGAACGTGTACTCATGTGATCCAATGGTTGCAAAGTGAATCAATGTATCTATGTAATGTAACTGATCTATTCACACACCAAATGTTAGGTTATCCTCCTTTACAATTAATGTAAGGTTGGCATCAACAACTAAACTACAGTTAAAGCAGAGACACAAATTCAGTTAGTAACCATAATGATCTGACACTAACAACTATAAATAGACCACTAGTATGAAATCAATCATTGCATTATCAAGACGGTAAATTTGTAGACTTCCTGTTGTAAATATTGGGATTAAAACCTAAATTGAGTCAGGTTTATTCTATATATGGACCTTCTTGGTTACATGTTTAATATCATCTGATACAGATGAAATGTCAGAACATTGTAATCGTACTTCCTAAATTGTCTTTTTAGGATCTTCTACTTTGTGCATGCCTGTGCACCTGATATCATGTTGGGATGTGTATATCTCAAGCACTCATTGTATTGTATTCACTAATAGCTAACATACTATATTCAATTGTTTACTGCAGCAATAATAAATGTAAGAGTCAGGCACCAGTTAATACCCCCCCTCCCGTTGTCATGATTTCTCATACACATAAATATTTCATATCATGAGACAAAACATCCACACACTGCACTGACAGCTCCCAGCAAATTTAATTTAACAGAGCATCATCTAACAGAGAACTTCATCAGGCACTGTCAGAAAGAGCGTTTTACAAATAGGAACCTCAGAAATTACACACAGAAAAACAAACAGTGCAGCGCACAGACTGATTTCTGCTATTTGACTGTCAGGTTTCAGTTTATCAAGCTGACCACTGAGAGCTGTGTCTGTTTGTACCTGGACAGGGCTGTTTGTAACAAAGCTGGGTCTCCTCTGTGTTCCTCTCAGCCTCGATCTCAGTGGGACATGCTGCATCACCCCCCTCCTCACACACACACACCCTGCGCCGTGTGACAGACCCCGCACCACAGGTCCGGGAACATGGTGACCATGGCGACCAGGGGCAAAGGTCATCTGGAGTCAAGGAGTTAATACAATCAGAGCAAATATGATCTGTGTTTTCCGTCATGTTTTACTGACGTTCTTCTTTTCCAAGATTGCACATAGAGTACATACAATATAGAAATATTATCACTAGAAATCATGTGTCTGTTTTTTGGTAATAGACCAATGAATACTGTGAAATTGTGGCATTTCTGAGTGCATACAAACCCAGACAGGGCGGGGTACGACATTCCTGGATCTCTCTCTCTGGCCCACTGCAGTAAGACCCATTGTTTCGTGGTGGGGGGTTGATGCAGGCACGGGTTCGAACCTGTGTCCCCTTTCCACAGGTCACTGAGCAGTCAGACCAAACTGACCAGGGGGTCCAACCACCATCCACTGACGACAACACACAAAACTTGGTCATGTGAAATGTATTTTTGCCAAACAATCCGGCTGCATGCCAGTCAAAATCTGCCCTGAGAAAATGTGTATATTCTCTATTTTCCTTTTTTTTTTTTTTTTTTTTTTCTTTTTTAACTAAATGAGTACATACTGCAGTTTAACACATTTAGGCTCGCTTCATTTCCTCCGTCTTTTAAAATAAATGTAGTGACCCACCTCTGCAGTCAATGTCTTGGCAGTAATCTCCCTCTGGGGTACATGTGCTAGGAGACCAAATAAATGAGAAAGTGCTTGGAGTGCAAACCCTTTATCAGGCAAACATTATTTTCATCTTTGTTTGTTTTAATCCGTCTCACCATTGTTTACACTCTCCCTGTAGCCAGGTGTCCCCCACAGTGAGTTCCTGGTTGTGATGGAGACAGAGGGGCGGGCAGGATCCTGGGTCGCAGGATTTATGCTGGACTTCCTCAAAGTGGCAATCTGCTCCTTCAGTCTCTGGGATCAGAGACCTGACACACAACAGTGACACAAAAAGTACGAATGTATTGCTACTTTACTCTATATTTCAATTTACAACCTTTTTAATAATAATTTTATAATATTTAATATATTTATTTTTAATATATATTTAATAATAATTAATAACGAACAGTGTATTAATATAGGCTAAAGTAGAACTGTGGATTTGTGAATTCCTTTTCTCACCTGTATCTGGTTCTCTGGCCCTGCCCACAGGAAACACTGCATGACGCCCAACTGGACCATGAGCTCCAAACGCACGCAGCCTGGCAGCTGTGGTTGGTGCAGAGGAGCTGTCCGTCAGTGCAGCTGCAGTTGTTACAGTCCACCTGATGCCAGCTGCCCGCCGCCCAAATCTGACCCAGTGAGTCCACACAGTCACACTGCCAAAGCTGCACACACATCCCGTCCTGCTGCAACTGGCCTGGATGCACACATGCATTAGTCAGACATTATTGCTGGAAAAATATATTGCTGTTGATTTTTTTGCAGTCATCATAACAAATTACACCTATTACACCTTTCGTGGGCAGTTTTTAAAAGGATCTGAAACAGGTTTTTTCAGCAGCATATAGCTCTGCCTCTGTGCTCGTGATCCCAGCCACCCCTTATAACTGACAGTGTGCTGATCCCAGTCTACTGCAGGTAACACACTGACTATGCATGACTTCTGCATATAACCCCCCGTCAAATAACCCCAACTATCCCTTTAAGTCTCTAACATGCTGTGTGGGGACCCTAGCAGTCCCTGATGTTTCCGTTTTTCAGAGGCACACTCAGGGGTCTGCATGCCTGACACAATTACACGTGGAAGTTTGCAGATGGGCACATGCACGTTTGCCTTAGCCTCCAGCAGACACAGAGTGACAGTATAATTTATTTGGACTTGTTTCCTGCCACCTGGAGATTTTTTTTAGCTCTGGTTTTAGCCTCTTCCACCTCCTAAGGACTCTTCAGTTGCTCCACTAAGTTTACTGTGCCAGCTACTCACCAACTGCGCCTGTCTGCTGTTTGGTGCTGGGCAGGTATTGTACAGTCAATTTTTAGGGAAAAAAATGATCTATCCTGTAGTGTCTGAGATCGAGGCTAATGACAGTGTTGAGACTAAACCAAAACAGTGGTGTAGTGGGCTGGAAAACCAAAATAACGAGCAGAAAAATGCTAAAAAAAGCTCTGTGAGCTGTGGGGACTTGCAGACTTCAGGTGATAATTATCTGTGGGTTCATCACTATGAGCAGCGCTGTCATGTGATCCATTGTTAATATGAAAATATTTATTATGGCTGCTTTAAGTTCTATCAAAGCAGACGCAAACATCCCAGAGACTGATATTTTAATATATGTCAATATTATATATTGAGTGCACACCACACTAAAGTGTATTCAAAGCAGCTAGTTTTGGATTAACAGCACCAAGACTATTTCAGTAACCCACCTGTATAGCCATGAACACATATGCACATACACAGTCCCGCTTATCTGTTCAATACCAGCAGGTCCAGGACCTATAAGGTCTCTCAGATATGCAGTAAACACACACACAAACACACACAGCGGCTTATCTGTTCATAAAATGATAGCAGCCTCGGCACCTTTAGGGCAGCGACAGCCCGGCTGACATTCTGTGTTGCCCTGGCACTCGATGCCCTGCTGGAGGTCTGAGCACCGCTGTGGACATTGGTTGGCACACAACACGAACTCCTGGCCCGGTGGGCAACCTTTCTCATCTAACAATACACAAACAGAAGGTCATCATTTTCCCATGATGCTACAGACATTTTCTCTGCATAACATGCCTCACCAAGAATGCTGATCACAGGTTGTGATTGACTTTTTGAACAACAAAGATGTACCTGATAAAATGGCCACATGCTGAATCAATGAACATTCGTGCATGCACAGGATGAACTAACCCTAAGGTCACAGTAATATAAACTCAACATGTGTGAACATGTATGCTGGGTCTGTCTCACCACAAGGTTTGGTGTTGCAGGGTTTGACTTGGTTCTTCTCTCCTTCGCACTTTTTCCCACCGTTTTTGGGTGGAGGGCTGGAGCAGGAGCGAGTGCGTATGGAGCGTCCGCCACCACATCGCTTATCACAGCGGGACCAGGGACTCCACCGGGACCAGCCTCCATCCACTACATCGTCCAGACAAACATGAGTACAAACACAGACCAGTGAATCCTGGCATAGCAGTGAAGCTTTTGCGCTCTGACCCCTTGAAACGAAGCAACTCGTGACCGCTCATCACAGGTTATAACCTTAGTTTGGACATACGATGAGAGCATTCCGATTTCTTGATTGTTTCATTTGAAGGATTCATTTTTGAAGAGGTAAAAGTATCCAGTCTGCAAAGACTTTTTTTTAGAGAAGTCAGAGAAAATGAATGAAATATTTTCTCTGTTCTCCCCCAAGATTTATGTACCTATTGGGGAGTCCTAATCCCCAGGTTGGGAACTACTGACATTGACAGACAAAACACCATGCTAGTGCTTTTGTAGGTTTTATACCATATACCAAAAATCACATATACTGTACTTTAATGGATTTTCAAAGCATGGTGTAATATTTCATAGTTCTGAGTTGTGTTTCTCCAGTTTTCCAGGCAGCTATTAGTTCCCATCATTTCACTATATGAGCTTAATTTCTGCTTTCATTGTTCTCAAAGTTTGTTTCATGGTAATGCAGTTAGTGTATGTACTGCATTATTAGACAGCAACAGCTGCAACTTCAAGATGATGCTGACTGTAAAGGACTTCCTATCAAGCAGTTTTTAAGTCTACAGTTTGAAATGAAAATCACAACTTGACTCAACATGCTGCTCTGGTTGGCTGACCTCTGCAGGGCCTGATGTTACAGAAGCGCTGCTCCTGGTTCCCTCTGAGGATGTCTTCACACCAAGACCCATTGGTCCCGGGGCTGATAAAGGTTCGGATCCTCTGCTGCTGACCCACTCCGCAAGACCGCGAACAGAAGCCCCACTCCCCCCACTCTGTCCACGAACAGTTCCTCCTCACACAGTCGGCTCCCTTACAACCATCACCTCCATCTGGGAATACATCAGGAAAGACAGAAGTGGTTTGATATATAGTACACTACATGTAGTAGCTGAGTATCAACATAGCTTTATCAAAATAACTATGATGCTTTGGTATAATTGCTGGTACCTCATCTCCTTTCACCTCTTCAAATTCCTTACACTAACTGTTTACTATAATTACAGCAAACCATTTGTTTGCATCATTTATAGAAATATCTAAATATTGATTTATTAAGGTGAAAATTGTACACAGAACAAATGCAAAAGTCATGAATGAATCATCAGGAGAATTTCATTCATAACCTACACCGTCTCTTGCTTTCAGTGCTGACTCTGTTTATTGTCTTGCCTCACTACTCAGTTGTACACACACAAAAAACACACTTCACACATTCACACACACACACAAATATGGTATTATTATTTCTTTCCGGATGGTATTACTCTTTGTTTCCATTCACCCCTCTCGTTGGAACATAAATTTTAGATAAAAATCTGAGAGTCAACAATTCAGCTGCCCGGCTTCTGGTTAGATTTGAATAAATTAGCTCTTATGTTCACATAAAATTCACTGTAGTCTCAAACAAAGTTGCTAAAAAATACAGCTAGCCCGCACTAATCTCTTATGTCTGCACTGATCAGTAAATAAAACAAGTCCGCTACAAAATCTGTTCTGCCGTCAATGAGATAAGCATGTTTTTTGGGGTTTTTTTTTGCAATCTCAAATAGCAAAACAGCAAATGTAATAAAATTCAGTTTGAAGAAATGTTTAACTGGGGGAATGCAGATCATTACTTACAACATGTGCTCTCTCTGTCAAACACAGGCTCTAAAAATATGAAAAATTAATCTTCGGTTGTCTGAAATAATCAGTTGAATGGCAACTGTCATTAATGTGCCCACAGTCACTTGCATTGGAGATGCCTGATACAAGTACAGTACTCTATTATTAACTACTGGGGTATTTAACAGACCGATAACAGTCCCTTCGCTTCAGTTCTTTCATACATACAGTACTACATTTGAACCTGTATCCTGATTCCTGTAAGTGCCACTTACTCTTGTAATCTCACTATTTACTATATTGCTATTGGAAATAGAAGACATCAAGCCTGCTGGATTTGCAGGAGATGTTCTGTTAAAGCGTTGACAAGAGAAAAATCTACAAGGCTTAGTTTACAGCATGAGCAAGCAGATGGTTTGTGAGATTCACTTTTACTGTATATTGACAGGAATATACAGGTAAGATTTGGTATCAATCATACAGTCCGACAGAGGTAAGAGATGTAAGTGCTGGTCGCACCTGGACACTGGGGCAGGTTACAGGCCTTCTCTTGATGAGAGCTTCCGGAGCAAGGAGGTTTGACACACCGTCGATGACGGGACTTCATGGCTGGCTTCAGAGCATCAGTGCAGGTCTTAGTGCAGGGACTCCACAAAGACCAGGGAGAGAAGCCAGCATCCTCATCTAAAGAAGACGGATGAGGAAAGAGGATCAAAAGACGAGAAGATATTCAAACAAAATCTTTACTGTCTCATGAGAGAAAATGTTTTAGCAGACAGAGTTTTAAATTAACATTGCACATCACAACAACAATCACCATACAGACTAGTAGGGGAGAAGGAAGCAAGAAAGAGGTGAAAAAAGAAATTAAGAAAAATGCCAGAGAAGGAGATAAACACCGTCTGGTATTAAACTTCAACGGATCATTTACCTGGTAAAGCTGGTTCTTCTGTAGGACCAACAATCACTGTCAGAAACACGTAAAAACTGATTATTAGTACAAACTCCATTATTTAGAATTGTGCACAAACAAGCATTGGCTGTATGTACTTTCTTTTCAGACTGGGTGGAAACTAAAAGACAAAGAAAAGCCTTTATGATTAAATTTAATGTATAGCACCCATTACATACAGTAAGCAGACACCCCCCTGTACCTGGGCAGTCAGGGGCCTGGCAGTAGGTGGTTTCTTGGCGTGGCCCCTGGCAATCTCTCCCTCCATGGGCCGGGGCAGGCTGAGTGCAGCCCCTGGAGCGAGTTTTCAGACCAAGACCTCCACATGACAGTGAACATCGGTTCCAAGGGCCCCAGGGTGATAGGCCTCCATCGACTGGGCAATGCTCCAAGGAACAATTCCACCTGCCGTGTTCACAGCCACTGCGGGGAGCAGGAGGGAGGAAGGGCTCAGTTGTGATATGGTTTGAAGGGACAGGAAGTTGACTGCCCAAAAGTTACAGGCAATAATTTTACAGCTAGGTGTACTGTATATGAACAGTATAACTGTTTAGCATTTAAATTGAAATACTTAATTTTTAAAAGCTTTAAGATGTTTTCAGGAATTATGGACACCTTCTAATGGTCGAGCAGTAGAAGAAAGTGGGTGTAGTAGGCAATAAAGGACTGTATGAAATGCGATATAGCTGCAAATATTCCCAAGATTCTCTGCTCACCATGTGCTGCAGTCATGAACCAGGGTGTCTCCAGACTGAAGCTCCATTCCCTCAGAGATATTGTTAAGGAGCAGAGATGAGACTGGTATGACAGAGACACTCTGCAAGGATGCCAGAAATGCTCTGTCAACCAGACACGGACACTCCTGAAACACACACATTACAGAGTCACCTTAAATGCAAAACTATTGTTTTCAATGTTGAATTACAGTTACAGAAATGTATTGAATACTACTATTTGTCCTTTGTGTATTAAATTCTAAAAGCTTTATTCAGATTTAGCTACCATGACTCTATTGTGACAGGGAACCCACCTGCAGGCAGACTCCATGGTGTTGGTAGGTGTGCGGAGGGCAGTGGCAGCCTTCTTCGCAGCCATCTGAGTAGCAGGCCTCTCTGCCGCTGACCTGAGCACAGCTGAACGGACAACCTTCACCTCGTTCACACTCCCTGTACAGCCTGCCCGGAGGGCAGCCCACCTCTGCACAGTGACATGACATTCGCACAGTGACATTGAGTAAAGACTTTCAAAAAGAGTCTGCAAGAGCTTTTCTAGAAGGTTAGCCTGGATATTACAGTTAAAATAAGTTTGATAATACAGCTACAGGTATTCTACAGTAGACAGGTACTCACCGAGGCAGACCTGGGTGTTGCAAATCTTGCTCTGGCGACTGAGGCCGCTGCAGGGTAAAGAGCTGCAGAGACGAGAGCGGGACTGCTGCCCTCCACCACAGCTGACCGAACACGCAGACCACTGAGACCAGGGCAGCCATGGGCCCCCTGAGTCTGGGGGACAAAACACAGAGATGTGAAGACAAGAATAGATACAGGGAGACAGGGACATACTTTGATTTAATAACAAAGGCTGTATATGTAATTAATTTTAATCTGTATCGTAATTCCCATAATTTTACCTGAAGTTCCAATAAAGAAATAACAAGATTCTCTACAAATTCAAGGAACAAACTTCTTCTCCATAACTTTAAGGAAAGCCTTTCATCATGTATTGTTGAATATCTCACTTTGCAAAGGAGTACATTTAACCTCATAAATGTACAGTGGGTCAGGACTTTGTTTCTTAAATTACCACGAGGGATGAAAGCCTTTTTTGTTTTTATCAAGTCATCAAGTTTTAAGTTGGATTGGTCCGACAGGACTACCTGTACAGGGGTGTATGTTGCAGTCTTTCTGCTGCTCAGAGACTCCCAGGCAGCCTCTTCCACCACTCTGAGGAGATGGATTATCACACTGGCGTCTCCTGAACTTGACTCCTCCTCCACAAGGAAGCGAGCACTCGGTCCAGGCTCCCCACTGGCTCCAGCCACCGTCAACATTGCAACCAGGGACTGATTGACAGTGCAGAACCCCAGCCTCGCATGAACTGAGATAAAGTGAGGAAGACGACACAAAAAGAAATGAAAATAAAGATACTGAAATTTTTGTTTTTCATATATTAAATTGAACTAAATTATATATCATATAAACTGATATTATTACAAGAATCAAAATGCTATTGTACCAGTTTTTGCAGTCGCTGATGATGCTCTCTCCTGGATTTGCAAACTGCCAATCAGATCCACCAGGCCATACCCATGATCCATTACTGGAATCTAGACCACCTGCCCAGTGAGCAAACCAAAGAGATATAACATATCAATAACCAGAGACAAACATCTATTGATCAGACTAATCTCTGCTTAGTCCAACACACTTTACTCATACAATGTATGTACAAATAAACAGACTGTGGATCTAACCAGTATGAGAGCTGTTGTGGTATTTGCAGCGACATTCCTCCCTGGCCACACACACTCCATCCTGCAGAACCATGTCACCTGGACAACCACAAGTGCGGCTGCACCCGGGGGAGTCCAAGCACACTGTGTCACCATGGAGATCCGAACAGGAGCGAGGACAGGGCTTCCCACAGGGCCATTCTTCCTGGCCTCCACCGCATTCTTTAGAAGACAGGGGGGAACACAGTTTGAAGACAATTAATACAGGGAGGGAACTAAAGGGTTGTAAGGTCTAACATGCCTTTAGAGTTTAATGCAATATAAAAGAGAACTCGAAACGAGCTGGACTGGAAAGAAATGCAATCCACCAAGGGCTGAGGTCAAGTTCTGGTCCCCAGATGGACAGAGGTGTGGGTCAGGTTAATGAAATGAGTGGCTGCTGGAAAATAGAAACTTTCAAAGATGTGATGAAAAACCAATAAGGTTGTTGGTGTGTGTTAATAAATTAAATGCATTATTGAAGTTAAGTGATTGATGAACAGTGTTTGGATGGACTCTCCCTGACATTTGTGTTTCTGTGCGCAGACCTTTTGCTTTATCGCAGCAGTGCAGAGGCCTGTCACCTTGGTGTTTGTCAGTAAACCCTACTATCATTCTGCAGGGGTTGGACATATGCAGAGACAAGGGAGGGCAGAAAGAGTTCAACTGAAGCAGAGTTCATTAATCTTCCCCTTCAGACAGCCATTTCATTTCAACAGGCCTTTTGTCTTCAAGCCGTCTCTTCTCTCTCTCCCAGGCTTCACCAGCAGCGACACATCTCCTCAAGCTATCCTCATTTTAATCCAGTAACCACTCTTACTAAGTGGGACATGAGTGCTTTTCTACATACATCCACAATTAATATACAATCCTTTATTACACTGACCTGAGCAGACGGTGTTGTTGTCATGGCAACCACGGCTCTGCCTGCTCTCTCCAAGACAGGGCAGGCCACCAAACCTGGCAGGAGGGCTGTTACATTCCCTGGTGCGAGTGGATGATCCAGCGCACCCATCACAGTCTGACCATGCCGACCACAGACTCCATGAACCGTGGACTAGAGAGACAGAGAGAGGAAAAGAAACAAAGACAGAAAATAAGAGCTGGGAACTGAAAAGGAAAACAGGGAGAAGTTGATACATCTGTCTACACCAAAAGATGAGTAAGACACAGATAAAAATTAGCAGACAAAGAATAGCAGCAGGAGAGAAAAAGATGGAGGAGATTCAAAAGACAAGCATGACAAAAACAGGGATGAAACACGAGGGAAAACTTGGCTGAGTGATCTGAGGGTCTCTGGCTGTAAATAATTTCAGCCAAAAGAGTCTTAAATTATCTGCATTATTTTACCAGTAAGCTCAGTTTCTACCAACATCTTTATGAACCTATAAAAGTTCTAAATAAATGTCCCTGCCGCTCAGTGGCGGCGTCTTACCTGGACAGAAGGTGATAACAGGGCAGGGCTGTCTCTGGATTTGAACTCCGACCCCGTTGTGTATTTCCTGTTCTCCAGAGCAGGCTGCTCCTCCAGCCTTGGGCTCAGGACAGCTACAGCTCCTGTAGCGGGACACCGACTCTGCCCCACAGGTCCTGGAGCAAGGAGTCCACTCTGACCACTCACACCAGTCACCTGACACTGGAAACACAAATCGAATTTACAGCCATTATCAAATATAATTTATCATTATTCATTTACTATCAATCAACTTACTCATCAATTTACTATTAAACTAATGACAGGTCATATTTTTTAAACCTGTACACCAGCCAATTAAAAATGTCTAGCCTTATAAGTTGTTCATTGATCATGCATAACTACTTCTTTTCATCACATACAGAGGTTTACAGGTCTTACTCACCTGGGCAGGTGTATCTAGTGCAGTTGAGCCTCCCTCCCTCACAGGTGCTGAAACACAGGAAACACAACATAATAACTTTCCTGTCGGTTTTTTCTCAGTGTTTCTTTGTGATATGCAAATGCAGTGTACATGCATGTGCTATGGGTGATCTTTGTATCTTTATTATTCTGACCAGTTGTTACATCCGTCACTGGCTTTTGCTGTCTCTCCTGGTTCCAACCAGAGTCCAGTGCTGAGGTCCAGGCAGGGACAGTCTTCTCTCTCTATGCAGACTGTCCCATTAGCAGACAGAACCTTTCCCCCTGTGCAGTAACACCCTGGCTCACATCGCCACTCACAGTGCTGAGGGACAGGAAGGAAATCACCTTAACATCACCAAATTGTATTATTTTTTATCCATAAATCACGACTTCATTTTAAACAGGAGTTGTGTTTGGTGTAACACTCACTGCCAGGTCATCACAGGAGCGAGGGCAGGAGGGACCACAGCTACTGAATGCTGTGCCTGGAACCTGAGAACATGGTGCAACTGAGAACACACAGTTACATGTTGTCATTACACTGACATAGAACCAGCTGTACTGTAGTGAAGAGAAAACACAATGTGGTTGGACAGAGAACACATACAGATACCTCTACAGTTTACACACATACCTGGACAATGGTCAGTGTTACAGGCTACAACCTCAGTTCCCAGCCCCTCACAGTAATTTCCCTCCCCCACTGGACTGGGACTGTCACACTCTCTCCTCCGGCTCCGAATGCCCCCACCACATGACTTGGTACACTCCGTCCAGTTACTCCACTGACCCCAACCACCGTCACCTGGAACACATCATGGTGTAGTGTAAAAAAAACTAATCAAAACAACTCCATGGCAAATGAAGATTAATCAACTGAAAATATCAGTTCAGCATTAGCTGGTAAATACATCAATCAACCAGGAAGGGACAGTCATTTACAAAAATCTGGTTACATCAATGATATACTGGGTGTTAAGTATTAATCTGGCTACTAAAAACAAGCAAAAGAGTTTAACTTTATACCTTTTTTGCATTATATCACTGTTTTCATAAAAGAATTTTAAACAAAAGTCCAGAACTTAAATGTAGACCGAGTCTGAAATGTCACCTTGTGCAGATCACATGAGCTTTAAACCATAAAAATGTTGTGACCTATATTGTGTGTTACTGTGATTAGGTTGTTTACTTTTATTGACACATTTTATGGCTCACAGGATGTTCACGTGTCATTTTGACTCCTTCCAGAACAAATTATGTATGAGGGAAAAAAATGAAACTTTGCTGACAGATCTTCAACAGTCTACATGGATGTGGTCTGACTCAAAATGGACATACAACCAATGTAAAAAGATGAGTGTGTGTGAAAATCTAATGCCAACATAGAATATTTAAATATCAATAGAGTGTCAGTACAACTTAACACCAAATAAACTCACGATCACATGGGGTGCTGATGCAGACCTGGTCCTCTCTGTGAGGTCCCAGACACGGCAGGCCACTTCCAGAACGATGGGGACTAGAACAGAACCGGTACCGAGACTGGAGACCCGCTCCACACGACACTGAGCACTGACCCCAAGGAGTCCACTGAGACCACTGGCCATCAACTACAAAGATTGTGTGTGTATGAGCAGGAAATGAAGAGATAAAATGAAGTACAATAAGGTAATTCTGTTTTTCACTCTGTTTTGCTTCATTGTCAATTGTGAGGGGCTGTTTACATTGACTGTGACGACAGACAATTCCTTACACTTTAAAAGTTCAATCTTAGAGATACTGTATATTACTGTATACAGGATTTGGATTAGAGATTACTGACATGTAAATTACTGTTATGCAAACTGACATGAAAACAACAAAGACAAAGCAAAGAAAAAATCACAGTGGCTATATTAAAGAGGAGTTCTTACCATTGCAGCTGCCTTGAGAGCAGTTTACCAGCCTCCCTGCTTCACATGTACTGAAATATAAAAACACAAACAAATGAAATCATCATTTTATCTCTTATACTGACAAACAAAAACACATGCTGGTGGAGTTAAATTCATTATTCAGTTCTACTTACCAGTTGTTGCAGTCTGTGGGGACAATGTCTCCTGGTTTGTACTGCTCCCCATTCACATCACAGCGACAGTCAGACTCCTGCACACATACATCATCCTGGGAATATAGAGGATCATGAACAATAAGAGCCTTATTTCTTGTACATGTCTGTCTACTTACATTTGTGCACAGCCAGCCCACCCACCTGTTGGACAGTCCCTTGTGGACACTGGCAGCCAGGTGTGCAGTTCCTGCTGAGGTCCATTGTGAGGTCTGTGCACGACACTGCCCCCTTCACACACTGCTTCCAATCCTGGCCTGGAGGACACAGTCGGCCACCACCTGACACAGCAAAGGTGTGCAAGAAGAAAACCTCAAGGTATTTTAATCAAAAACATGAATGTATTAAAGACGTGTCAGATCAACAAGGACTTGCTGATGTCCAAGCCCTTTACTTCACCAATGTGACATACTATGGCAACTAAATCTTTCATTTCAAAACAATACAGTATGATCCATTATCTGTCAAGGAAATACACATTTTTAAATGCCAAGGTTGACATAAACATCTACTTCTACTAGTCTACCACTATGATTTTTTTTTTTTTTTAGCATTTTTCAAATGCATCATTTGATAAACAGAAACATTGCCATTTTTTGTTTTTGTTGTTGTTGCTACTACAATTAGTTATGACTTTCTGTGACCCAGTTTGAGCATATAAAGTTGTTTACCTTACTAGCTTCTTATTGTTGTTTTCTGGTATGATAAAACACCATATTATTTCATAAATAATAAATTTGAGATATGACAAGTAAAATACAACCTTATGTTTTCTTGAAAACATAATAGTATTTGTTATATGAGTGTGAGGTTCTTGCTGTACCACAGGGCTGCAGATTACAGGCGCTGAACTGCTGAGCGGTGCCATGGATTCTAATCGGCCCACGGGTTCTGGTCCTGTAACCTCCTCCACATGTCACTGAGCACTTTGACCATGTACTCCACGGCTCCTTCACACCTGGCACACAACATAACTGGATAAACGTCTCTTATTTTTTAATCTGTGGTTTGTTTTTAGTGAATAATAAAGTGAAAACAGCAAACTTCCAAAAATCCAGCTTTTAGTTATGATATTTTATAGTTACGATCATGTAAAGAAAACATTACCAACAAAGGAATTTTTTCTAACCAAAGCAGGGTTCAATGCTGCAGGTATCGATCCCGATTCTGTCTCCTTTGCAGGGACGACCCCCGAACGCCGGAGGAGGATTAGTTCCTGATCGATACCTCCTTCTCACACCAACATCACATGTTCGACTACAGGTGCTCCATTGGGTCCAGCTGCTCCAGCCACAGTCCACTGAGAGACACACATATAGACAGGTTACAGAAAGACAGAGACAATAAAAAAAGAGTTGGGAAAACAAGAAAAGACAGTGAGGAACACGGAGGAATGGCAGACATAGAGATAAAAAAAATGTACATTAACAATTGCAAATGATAGTAAAGCACTAACCAGAGCAAGGAGCTGTTCCACACTGCATCTCTCCATTAGTGCAGGTGCTGTAAGAGACACAAGTACAGGTGACATTTGTTTATGGCATGTATTCCCACAGTAAGTGCATTCATGGATGTTTTTAGACAAAATTTAATTTATCCCATGAGTAAACAGAGGTATCATTTTTGTCATATCAGCACCAGTTATTGCAGGCATCAACACGCAGGGTGGCACCAGCTGGGTACGTCTCCCCCTGATGGTAACACGGGCACTGTGCCAAGGGCACACAGCTGCCGTTCAACAGGTAGAAGCCCAGAGCGCAGTAGCAGCCGTCGTAACAGGCAGTGGCACACTGCACATCTGTGGAGGTCATGTCCAAACACACCCGTGGACACGCACCGCCTTGAGCCTCACATTCAGCTGCTGTCATGTACACCATGCCCTCCGGACACTCACCTGAGAGCAGAAGGAGTGGAAATAAGAATGATGTAAAAAAACGGGAGCAACTGAAAAATACTGTGCAATAAAACACCACCGACACAATTTTATTATAATGTATTACTAATTTGCACATATTATTCAGTGGCCCTCCATAGTCTGAGCAATAAGAAAACATGATGCAGCACCTGAGCAAGGGTGGGAGTTGCAGTCTCTTGTCTGCATGTGAGGCCCAGGGCAGCTGCTGCCCCCATGCTGTGGTGAGGGTGAACTGCAGAATCGCTCTCTCGTTTGGACACCAGAGTCACACTCGGATGAACACTGGGACCACGGCGACCAGTCTGACCAACCACCATTCACTGGAAGTACAAAACTAAACTTAGCTTTTTACCTTCAGAGATTTTTTTATCCAAAACAAAAACACATTACCAGAAACTAAGGAATTATAGACCTGGACAGTGTACAGTGTTGCAAGGCTCTTGCTCCTCGCTGTCTCCATCACAGCCAGAGTGTGTGTGGTTGAGTGAAGCGAGTGTGTGGTTGCAGCTGCGGAATCGTCGTCTGACTCCCACCTCATCTACGAGGTTGAAGCATGTCTTACTGCACTCGGACCAGCCTGTCCATTTACTCCAAACACCTTCTGGTAGCACTGCACAAGAGAATGGCAAAGTCACCATAACACCATCAGGTGGTGAGTATGCAATTGATTTACAAAACTAGGATACTGACTTGCATTTAACTTGAGGAAAGGCTTTATTGTAGGGCTGCAAATAACTAACAATCATCTGACCTATGAAACAACAGAAAACTGGGAAAATATCATATATAATATCCTATAGCACAACGTAATAGTTATAAATATATTGTTTTGTCCAACCTACTGTACATAACAAAACCAGAAAATATTCAATTTACTATATTACAAGACCAAGAGGAGCTGCAAGTTATTGTTGCATGATTTGCTTGAAAATTGCTTAAATGATTAAATTGATTATCAAAATAATCAATTATCACATTTTTTTGGGATCAGCTAATCAACTAATCTTTACAGCTTTAGTTTTCTGTAATTGTTGTTCTCAGTGTGGGGGAATTAGTGTTACTGTTGTGTGCATGTTGTGAGCAGTTATACCAGGGAGGCAGGGGGTGGAGCAGCTGCGGGCCTCAGTGGAATCTCCTGGACAGGGCTGGACTCTGACTGCTCCTGCTGGCTTCACTGGGGACCTGAGGCAACAGATTCAGGGCATAAGAACTTTAATAGGTGGTGTGTTAGCAGTAACAGCAAACCAAGAACTTGAAAACCTACATACAATGTGAGCAGTTAGAAAAAAAACTGTGTTATTAGAGTGTACAAAAGACAGCAAAGAGAAAAAATAAGTACAGGATTATTTACTAAATTCAATATAAGCACACATCTGTTGTGAAAAAGGGTCCAACTGTTTGACCTCCATGCACCAAAGAGTAAGAGTAGATTCGCTGTTCAGTTAAACCGGTTCACCTGTATCGATGCTTTAGGCCCAGACCACAGGTGACATCACATGGTGACCATGACGACCAGGTTGACCAGTGACAGCTCGCCACACAGCTGGAGGTGTCACAGGTGACTTGTCCATCCCTGCACACACTGGTGGGGCATTTCTGACAGTTAGATTTTTTTTTTAATTATTAAGAAATCAATAGTAAAAGCTAAGGACCCAGTGGTCCAAGAAAAAAGTGTATATTTAAAAAAAATAAATAGGAAGAATAAGACTATGACATAAAAATAACCATTTCAATTAAGTTATTTGACGTTTAAGAAGGTAAAATTTGAGTCAATTAGCATTTTAGAAATGTCACCAGTTATGAAAACCAGGCTACTTTCCAAAGCAAATATGCCTGTGTCTCTTACCATGTGGTACACTGGTCCCTGCTGACTGTCTGTCCTGGCTGCAGTGTTTGGCTGTTCCAGTGACAGACACATTGTGTGGCATTTACACATCGCCCCTCCTGAAGGTACAGACCACTAGGACAGCGACACCCTGGAAAAAAAGACATTATTTATGTCTGAATCGGTGTTTTATCTACGAATGACTGAGCCTATGTGAGCCAATATAATTCCTGCAAAAATATCACCATCAGGCTTGTTTTAAAAAGGTTTTGCTTTATAGTCTGTGATTCAGTGAGTTGGCAATTTTACACACACTATCAAGTCCGAAATCATTTAACAGACAATAGACCATAGACAATTTAATATGGCCTCATCTGCTGTGCAAGAGACTGTTTTGATTTTGGCAGCGCTAACCCAAAGTACCCAAGTTCATCTCTGACTGTTTATCTTGACAATATCACAATAACAATTTACAATTTCTCTTGAGGGTATTATAAATTATTCCAGCATATAAAAGATGTATTATCATGTGCCTGATCAGTTTGTATGCAACAATAGATTCTCAATGAGCACAAGCTTTTTACTTTAAGATAAGAGACCATCCAAAGTTTCTGCATGGAACTTCCCACAATAGATAGTACAATAGATGCATTACAGCTGCACAGACATTATAATCTAAATTCCAAAAACACTGTGAATCCTACCCAGGATACATGCTGCAGTGCAGTTGTTGGTCAAGCTGAGGTGTGAGCAGGTAGGAGGACAAGGCTCAACTCTTCCAGCCTGGCAGTCTGCCTCAGTCACCAGCACCATACCGTTGGCACAACCTGAACACACCGGTCAGTTTGTTAGTATGCTTACACAGAACAGAGGTGTAACTCAGACAGTTTACAGAGTATATAACTACTGTTCTCAGGCTGGAAAAAAACACTTCAAGGCTTTAAACACCATCAGCAAAATTTAATGTTTGACAAACTCACCTGTCTGTGTGCCGATTTCTTTGGTGCAAGACTGGGTGTTGCAGCTCTGGCTCTGCAGGGTCATGCCCTCACAGTCCCGCCCATCATTCTTAGGAGGGGGAGCAGAGCAGGTTCTGTTCCTCTGCCTGACTCCACCTCCACACTGAACATCACAGTCTGACCACTCTGTCCACTCTGCCCAATGACCATCAACTACAGAGAATAACATTGTGATAACCATTAAATCAGATATCAGATACTTGTGAAGCATCTGTTCTATTTGACATCAGGTTTCAAAGAACAGACCTGGACATGCTCGAGGGAAGCATGCTCGACTGTCGAACTGGGCTCCACCACAGGCCCCTCCAGGCAAAGCCTCCCTCAGTATGTCCCTCTGCCGAAACAAGGAGCCCAGACCACAGGACACACTGCATGCACTCCAAGCTGTCCACGGGGACATGATGCAGTCCACTAGAGGAGAGGAAAAAGGATATATATATATATATATATATATATATATATACATATACACAGGATAGATAGATAGATAGATATTTTCCTGTCTGGTTTCATCACCAGTTTGAGGTGGAATTATAACCTACCACAGTCTTTTTCATCTGACCCGTCCACGCAGTCTTTGTGTAGATCACACCTGCGGTCCAGGTGAACACACTCCCCACTGTTACAGGGGAATTGTTTGGGGGAGCATGGACTGGGCACCAGGGGGCGCTGCGAAGTCACCACTGGCCTGGCTGTGGTGCCTGATGAGACATGGCAATACAATAACAAAGCTTTATTCAACTTACATACAATATTTTACATAAATAAGATATCCTGGGACAATTAAAACAACTTATTTTCATTTTACTTTATATTTTACATCTGTTTGTAGTCCATTATAAAATTATACAATACTCGGCAAAGGTTTTTGGCAGTTCAGATGTTTAAATTTACATGCATTACACAGTACCACAAGGGAGGAGTCTGATGGGTGGATGCAGCCAGAGTCATGCAGTGACGAATAGAACAAGGAGTCCAGCAACAGGTGCTAATGCCCCCACAGAGCCCTGATCTCAACAGCATAAATTAACAAAAATTTTTCCAAGATGTCAAATATTGATTTGATTTAGATATTTTCTGTTGACTGCACTTGTATGAAGTTAATTGATAAATAAAAAGTATTCATGGCATTATTTTTGAAAGCATCCTCACCTTAGAGCCTAAAGATTTTGCACAGTGGTGAATAACTCCATTGTGGTACCAATATCACCAATACCAATACTTGTACTTCCAGCCCCCCGCCCACCCCCAGACACAGTGTTGATGCGTACCACAGTATTCCTCATCTGACCCGTCCAAACAGTCCTGTCTGCCGTCACACACCTGCGCAGAGTCCACGCAGCCAAATGACCGGCATGCAAACTGGCCCTCCACGCAAAGCACTCTGGGTAGGCCACCATCATCGGGGGTTGCAGTGATCCACGGGGCTGTAAATAAATAGAAAATAGAGGCAGCAATAAATGTCTGTTCTGTCAAGTAAAGGATGATTGTAGATTGTAGAAAAAAAGCAAAGCACCTTTTGTGGTTTGTAAACCAGGCCTTCCAGAGTGAAGGGTTGTAGTGAGGTGAAGTCCAGGCTGACCTGTGGTGACCCCTGGGTAAATGGAAGGTTTGGTGGTCCAACGGCCTGATCATTTACGATGAAAAATAAACTGATAAATGGCACAGACACAACCTAAATCTAATAAACTGGTTAAATAAAACACTAGGTGAACTTTGTATTAAAAAGTTGTTGTTGGCAAACAACGAGTGACAATTAGATACCATCAACAGCCAATCATACTTGGAACTGTGGTCTTCTGAAGTCCAGGTCCACCTGTGAGCCCTGATGTAGCCACACCAGGAAGGCTACCTTGGGACCTGGTGGTATGGAGGCCTGGGGCACCTGTCGTACTGTCACCATCAAAACCTGATCTCCCTGTGGAAATGGTCTGGTTCTGCAGCCCTGGAAAGCCTCTGGTTGAAGCTGTACCTGAAGATGAAGATTAGGAGAAAGAGATGTGAACACTAAGGAGGCAGGAAGTGTGCTGTACATTTCAACTGCTAATCTCTCAAGCAGTCTGTCAAACGTAAGTTGTTTGAATCAATTGATCCTATAAGGAAACTAGAAATTGGTATGAGTGGTGTAGTATGACTTGAAAGAACAAGAATGAAATGTACTGTATATGACCCAACATCCATCAACTCCTACCACAGTTGATCTCGTCAGAGTGGTCCTTGCAGTCCAGTCGACCATCACAAAGCACAGAGACAGACACGCACTGGTCACTGTGCTGGCACGCAAACTGGCCTGGCTTACAGCGCTGCACCGTCACTTTCCCACCACCAGAGGGAGACGAGGTCACACTGTTGGGGGTCACCAGCTCATCTACAACATCAGAAGGAAGAGTTGATTCATATTATCGTTAGGCATGGGTATCGTTAAGATTTTAAGAGGACAACTACTTTTATCCATATGGCTCATCAATCCGGTACTTAAACAGTAATCTTATTGGTACTTTAGTAACATTAACAACATCATTACCCCATGTTCGTATAATGTAGTTAACTCTGTGTGTGGGCTCCAGGCTGCAAACATACAAAACACACCTGACGCAACGACGGGTAAACTACAAGCTAGTTGATTAAAACCTGTACATTTCTCCGTCTGTATGTTACGGACTTTCACTGGATGTTTCCAGAGATTGCTCGGGTTTCCTCTCTTACATGCAAAAGACTGAACCACACTCTGAACATTTACTTCTCTCTGCCATAGACACAAAGAGCAGGGTCTGTGTTGCATGGAGCTCAAGCGTGTGACACAGAGCTGCCCCCGCCCCTCACACACACAGGGTCAGAGAGAGAGAGAGAGAGAGAGAGAGAGAGAGAGAGAGAGAGAGAGACAGAGACGGAGACAGAGAGAGAGAGAGAGATCTCTCCTCTGGATTAGGAACGGCATAATTTAATTCTTCACCTCCTCTGCAGCCAAGGATCTCGACCCGCAGGTAGAAGGTGTGTCTGAACTCCACAGGGATGATGCGCAGGTAGCGAGCTCTGACCAACCGATCAAGCCAGCGGGTCACAGGGTTCCTGCCCACCATCCGCACCTCAAACACCTGCAACACAAATAAGAAGATATTTACACATGTAATGAGGCTTTTTTCCAAGATTAATGCAATGAATTTTTCTTTTCTTCCACCATTGTGGAACATGTTAAATGTATACGGATATATGCAAAGACAGAAATCATCTGATGTAAAAATTTGAGTCCAAATTACTACAAATACCTTAGCAGGGCCACCAGGCTTCCCATTCTCAGTGTAGTCTGTGAAGAGGCTGCTGTGCAGTGCGAAGGCCAGGCGGTATTTAGTCAGGTAACCCCACATGCGTTGACTCCCCTGAGTCACCACCCCTGATACCCACATGGGCTCCAGGAAGTCCACCTGAAAGTATGGCTGTTTATCTGAAGGCAAGGGACTCCATCCAGGCTCCATAACCTGACTACACAGAAGACGATATGATTTGTTATTTCTCTGTATACCTTACATTCTCTTCTTCAAAAAGCATGGACAGCAATACATTTAAAATGCTGTTAAGCGCATGCATGAAACCTATCTAATGTTGAGGTTATTACTGTATATACAAATACCAGACCACTCACACATTAGGAATGATGTTTAGTCGTCCAGCATCAGCAGGGTTGTTCTCACGATGTGAGGATGACGTCAGCTGACCATAGCGAATTCTCCCATCCTCCAGTCCAAGGGGAGAGGAGCAGACGCCTGCAGAATATGATGAATTTTAATATCACCAACAGAACCAGTTTGGCAAAGAACACTTCAAACATGTTTGGCATGCAGCAGTACATTAACTTTTTATAAGAAACAAACAGAGGCATCTGTTATCGAAATAAAAAAAATAAAAACACAAATAATAAATCTATCCAAACTGCATTTAACACTCACCACGATATCCTGGTCCCCCACCCTGTAAATACATTAGAAAATAAATTCAGTTTATTTTGCAATTTTATACATTTTATAAGCATCATAACTGGTAGAACCTTTGTGAATTTATTTTAAGTTCAGATTTTTAAAATAAGCTTATTTACACCAGTGACAAGAAAACAAAGATTTTAGAGGAGCTGTTGTTTCACTTAAACGTTTCCTTACTGCTGTTGTAACTGCAGGATGAGTGACTGCAGCCATGGATGGAGTCCTGAGAGGAGCAGGGGTAGGTGTGTGTGGTCTGTAAATTGTCACATAATTGACAACACTGAAGACGAGTAAATACAACACCTGGAATCCTATTTGACAAATTTACAACACAAAGTATAAAAGAAGAACTGGATAAATACATGGAAAGTGGTCTAAATACAGTTACTACTACTACTACTAACGTTATGACTTCTGGAAACAATAAAAATTTCCCTCCACCTGTCTGACTGGGTAGTGATGTTGTGCAGGTGGCAGCCAATTTCATCCTCTCCTTTGGGACAGTGAGGGATACCATCACAGCGTTGCCCTGCCTTTATGCAGCCCCCTGGTGGGGGACAGGAGAACTGACCAGCAGGACAGCTGCGTGGACTAGTGGCAGTAGTAGAGGGCTGTGTACCTGCATGTGGGGAGTAGTTCACTAAATAAAAATTGATTTCTACATATATTTTTGGTTTGTGTGACAACGTTCATGTGTGGAAGATGTGAGTAGAGTGCATGTAAATGCAGGTAGCTAAGTTAAGAAAGGGTGTATGAAGAATAACTGAATTAAACGTGTGTTAGGTTGGGAAGCTCACCACAGTACATCTCATCTGAACCATCCCCACAGTCATTGACTCCATCACAGACAACTCCCAGTGGACCTGCTGGGACACAGCGACCATTTTTGCACTGGAACTCCTTCACTCTGCAGCCGCCCACTGGGGAGACTGGCGAAGGAGGGGTGGAAGTGGTTAACCAGTGATAACCTGAAGGAGAGGAGACTTTAGATGAGCATTTGTGCACAAAATCACCATCAAGCTAGCATGAAAACTATCTACCAACCATCGCCACAGCCCATTATCTCAAGTCGAAGGTAGATGCCGTTCTGAAAGTCATGTGGCAGCAGGCGGACAAACTGGGCTGACACCATCCTGTCCAGTCTGCTATCAGCAACCCCTCGATCGTCATGGTTACCAAGAAAAACCTGCAAGGACAAAAGTAACAAATCAACTTTAAGATCTGAAAAAACAATGCTAAGTGGCCTTAAAGTATCTAGTGGAAAGTTGTTTGGACTTGGTTTGATGACTGACCTTGGCTCTGGGCCGGGCATCAGCAACAAGCTCTTTGTAAGTGTACCACTGTCTGCCGTCCTGGCTAAACTGGATGTAAAAGCTGGACACGAATGTGCCAAACACACCACCACCCTGGGTTAACACACCTGCAGAAAGGTAAAGAGATGCATTTTATTGATTTTACTGATATACACAACATAACTTCACATAGAAATTAGTTTATACACAGCACACTAAACCAGCGTTTCAGTCTATGGTTATTCTAAGGTTTCAGCATGAAAGCTTACCAGTGATGTTGTATGGTTTCAGCAGGTCTATCTGTAGATAGGGGCTTTGTGTGTTGCTAGTGTGTCCCTCAGGGCTCCGCTGTGGCAGGTCCTTATATTCCTCCGGTTCTGGACTCCAGCCCTGCAGATAAATGTTTTGCAGAATACACCCAATGCTGCTCAATATTACACTGATAAGCTACAGTCATGGAAGCGGAACTGTGAGGCTGTACTTAGACACAGCAATGCTTTGCTTCAACATGCCAACATAATTGCAGGGAAAACGTTAATATGCAGATATTTAGCAAGTAATGTTAAACGTTCACCATCTTTGTTCAGCATGCTCACATGCAAACATTTTTCCTAATCAACTCTAAACACAAAGTACCGCTGAGACTGATGGGAATGTTTCTAGTTTTGCAGGTCTTTGGCCATAAACTAAAGTACTGAACAAATTAATTTCGACCTGATGATGGTGCCAGAGGAAGAGAAAGTTTCTCCTTGGTTACACATGTATTTCACAACAATCCATCTCACAGATGTCAAGACATTTCACCCAAAACCAAAGAAGTCAACCTGCTGGTGACACTGCTGGAAAGTCAGAAGGTTGCCAACATTATTCAGAATTACTGCCAGGAGACCTTGAATGTCCATCGCTATTGTTACAGCCTCGTAAACAGCTGGCCAACTGCCAAGTGTCAAGAACATGTATTCTCAGTTTAAAAACCATTTATCCAAATCTTTTTTATTCCTCATGTCATCAAATCGTCAACCGTTTTGTTTTCACCCTAACCCACTTTAAATAACTGTTTTGTTGCAGGTGGGGATTTAACAACTTGGATGAACATGTGCCAGTGCAAAATCTGGTTGTATATTATAAACCTATCACTGGGCCTGGTATACCTGGAGGTCTGTGTGGGGGTCCCATCCATGGAGTCGAGCTGCCTCAGGGGGGTGACCTGTCTGCTGTGATGAGGCACTAAAACTTGAAACTGGCAAAGACTGGACACCCAGGGGAGACCAACACTCATCTGAACAGAGCAGAGGAGGGGAGATTCCATGGAAATTACAATCAGTGAAAATAGATCAAATGCTCTTTCACTACCCGAAAAACTGCAGGACCAACTGGTCACATGAAAAAGACACAAACCTCCGGGAGGAAGTGGATATGTGGGAACCAGGGGTGAAGTATCCTCTGTTGGCTTGGAGGTCACAGTTTCAGGGCTAATTGTCACGAGAATTGTGTCATTTCCATCTATATGCAGAGATGTTGTAGAACAGAAAGATGAATGTCAGGAAAGTACTAGTAGTAGTACTGCAATTTTGCTGGGGAGGGATTAAATGAGCAGGATGTTTATATAGTTTTTATATTACTTGTCCTCTCTTCAACTCATTTTTCATCCTCAAACATATACATGAACTGAAAAACTGAATTTTTCAAGAAGACATTTAATCAGTGTAGATAGCAGAACAAGAGTCGTTGTTCTACCTTGGCAGTAACAACACCTGTCTCCCTCTCCAGGCACCAGACTTTGGCCCTGTACAAACAAAGGAAATTTCAATATTAAACTCAGTCACTCAGGGGGAGTGTGCATTGGGTTGTTTACAAGAGATAACAGTGAAACACAGGTGCATTTAAGCCCAGATAATCACATACTCAAACGCAAAAAGAAAAATGTGCAAAGGTTTCACTGTGCATCACATTTACACACACTAGGCCACACACAGACACACACTCTTACCTGTGGGCATCCAGTGACAGTGTATGGACAATAGGGGGAACACTGCACTGCTAGGTTGGACAGACAGTGGCATAACTGGCAGTGGTCTGATCTCCATCTGTCTCCCACAGCATGGGACTGACCCTGGTACTCACACTCATCACAGGGGTCAGTCTGACACCTATACACACACAGACATGTTTGCAGGAGGTGAGAGAACATGTGTGCGTCTGCTCATAGGTGTTTAGTGTGACAAATAGCTATTAGGGACCTCACAGAGGTTGTTGTTGAAATGTAGATGATCACCAAGGACACAGTTTGTTATCTTCAGTAACTTTTAAAAAATACAGTTCAAAAATAATATTGGTTTGATAGGTTCACTGTGGAGAGATCCACAGTGAACAAGGGAATGTGGTGAGTGATTATCATGTGTACCGAATTGATAAGATTTCATGTAGAGAGCATGAAAGTTCAGTAGATGCTGATTTAAACTGCTCATTGATTTTCATATGGTATGTACCAGAGGAATTTTGCATTTGGGTGGTGATAGATAAAAGGTGAAGGGGTCATCAAAACCAGTAGGGTTCACTGTCAATGGACCACAAATATCCACACCAAACTTTAATGTAATTTTAAAAATAAAAGTTACACTCACAATTCCATTTTAAAATTGTCATGATGGTGACACTAACAGACAGGTTGGATGGGTCCTCAAAAGTATCAGCATTCAAACAAAGCATATTTGAAATGATCCGGTTATTATCAAGAAAACTTTGCCAAGTGTTGGAGAAGTGTGAATTTTGACCTGACAGAGGCACAATCAGGAGGTCGATGGGGTCATTTTTAGGAATCACCCTATAGGGACTCTAGGGCAGAGATGTAATAGTGTACAGAAGAGTAGTGGAAGGAGTCAGTAGTTAACAGTCCCATCAAGAGAGGACTACTTACCGTCGAGCTTTCCTGTAAATTCCTCTGCATATTCTCCCGTCTCCGTGCTTGGTAGGGTTGTTTGGGCTGCGGAAAGACCACTGAACACTGTGGACACCACAGGGCCCCAAACACTCTCCCCACTCAGACCATGATGACCAGCCACAGTGTACTACAGTAAGACATAACCGACTGCTCAGACTTCATGGGAGGTGGTGAACGATAACCAGTATGTACCGTGTGTAAAAATCCAACTATGGGTTTGACATTGATCTCACTGCAGTTTGTGTATTTGAGAGACTCACCTGAGCAGTCTGGGTTGGACTGACATCTCTGAGGTCTTCCTCTCTCACAAACACAAATTTCACAGTCCACTTTTATTTGCTGGCCCGGCCAGTAACGCACACCTGCGACCTCACATGCACACTCCTCTGGTAACACACACTGTTGTGTATGACTCATCACCTGGCCCTCTGGACACCAGCAACCTGCAGGTAGAAACATGTAAATGAGAAAAGAGGATGTGAGAAAAAAGTGAGGCTAGGGGGGGGGCACCTTCCACTTGTGGCTGAGAACTAGGCCTACTTTCAGTCCTGATGAATTAACCGTATCTCGTCAGTAACATGAATTAACTTTTTTTCCCCATATCAGAAGAACTAATGGCATCTGCACTCAAATCAGGTCGCCGCCTCCTTCCGCAGGGAGAAAATTCAGCACGTTCATATTCTTCTTCTTTGGCAATTTCGGATGGCTCTGCCTGATGCATGGATGACGATACAGTGCCACTACATTGCCGTAGTGGTGTACAGCCGCAATTGCAGTTACAAACGTCAAATCCACCGAGTACCAAGAAAACAAGTACTAGAACTTTGTCTGGAGGCAGAGGCGGCACAAAATTTGACAGAGGCAGCCGCCTCCCAATTCTCTATGCAGGAAAAACCCTGGAATCTCAATATTAAGTGTGGCAATTTCAAAGCAGCCATTTATTGTACGGCACAAGGTATTTCAGATTCCTCCTGACTGACCTGAGAAGCAGGGTGCTGTGGGATCACAGGTTGTCCCACTGCTGATGTGGGCACAGGAAACTGGACAGGGAGCACAGCTGTGTCTCACCAGCCCAGTGGGACAGCTGGTGTTGGCACATCCATCGTCAGGACAAGGCTCTGGAGTCGAACAGGGAAAAAGTTCTTTCTTTTCATCTTATTATCTTGCTCATTAAATTTTGTTGCTATCTTTTTTTAGTATTTGTGAGAAACATGTTTTTTTTTTTTTTTACCTTTATCAAATCAAAATTGTTTGATGAGGCTGGATTTCATTCAGTTTTTGCATTTTCATCTACCACCATCACATGTTTTTTGATGCAACAATATTGAGCAAAATTAAAAGATTACAACAGTTTCTATTAACAGTTCTATTTCATAATGATTTCTTTATTCATTAAACCCTAAACATACAGTTTCTCTCTTACCACCAGTGGTATCAAGTCAAGCAGATAGATTTGGTTTTATTTGTGTTATTCATTTGTTTCTGCCCCACCCAAATACAATGGAGGTGAAAGGATGTTTTTTATGGTGCTCACAGCGATGAGAAATTACAATTTAGAAAATTCCAAAACAACGTATCTTTCCAGTAACAGAGTCTCTGTTACTCAGTTAGTGTTGTCTCTTTTGGGATTTTGGGTGAACCATTCATTTAGAGTGAACACTCTTCCTCAGTGATTGCACAAGACTGAGGCAGCATTTCTTTCTATATTTCCAACAAGTGATTTTAAGCCAATAACGTCTTCAGTATCACTTATTTCAGTTCCACCTTAGTTTACAGACAGCTCTTACTGATTTCCATGGCTACGTTGGACGATCCAGGGAGCTGAGAACAATCTCGGCCTCCGTAGCGAGGAGGGGTGCAGCCTCTGTGTCGTACCTGCACTCCACCACAACCACTGGAACAGTTTGACCAGCTCACCCAGGGCAGCCACTGACCATCCACTGGAGGGGGGACAACATCACATCACAGTTTAGTAACAAATACATGATTGATTTTCAACTATGCATTGAGACTTTGAGACTGTTCATTCGAAAACATATTTATTTTTTGTCCACCTCCTTACCTGGGCAGGTGGTGTTGAAGCACTGCTGCCTCTGGACTTCCTGTCCCCGACAACGGCGCAATGGGTCCCCTGGAGGGCAAGTTCTCTGCCGGCTCATGGAGCCTGTCCCACAGGAGGTGCTGCAGGGGCTCCAGGGACCCCAGGGGCTCCAAGTTCTACAACCCTGCTCATCTGTGGGACCTCCAAGTGGTGCTAGTGACGAGTCTGGGCAGTCTGCCAGATCATTACAAACCTGGTAAGAGGATGGGGTTAGTGAGCAGGATTGGCTAAATATAACTGAGAGGGATTAAGGGATACAAGTACTTCTTTCTGCATTCTATAATTTGTGATGTGGGAATATATTGTCTGTATTGAATATCTATGTCAACAATTCTATCCCTTTTTGGACATGGAAAGTCTGTGAAAAAATCTGTTCGCTAGCTTGCCATTTGTGGAAACTATGTATGAATTATTTGTCACACAAGAAATCCAGCACCTACCATGTTGAAGGGGATACAGAATCCGTCCATACAGGTGTATTCAGGGCAGGGGACAGTGGTGTTCCTACTGCCAGGTGGTGGCGGTGAGACGGTTTTATCTGAACACAACAAGATGTGAAAAAGATTATCAAACATACCATAAATTACAGTACAGACTTTCTTTCACTCATCCATTCCCTCCTGTCTCTCTCATCCATCTCTCTCTATCCTTCCTTCCTTCCTTCCTTCCTCTACTTATCTCATGAGAACTCACCACACACCAACTCATCATCGCCCCGTGGACAGTCTGGGATGCCGTTGCACACTTGTGTCATGTTCACACAGGTGCGGTTGTCACAGGAGAAGCTGCCTGGACAGGGGGGTATCTTGGTGGAGCCTAGAGGGCCGACAAGAGTATTGTCAATGTCCAGTAGCATGTCTTTAGACAAAGGATGCTTCTGTGACCGGATGATATGAGCTCTGGAATTCACTTGATGATCAAAATATGTAGGTTTGTCATTTCAAGCTTTTACATTTGTATTTAACCCACCACAGTTGTCTATGCTCTCATCTGAGGCATCCCTGCAATGTGGAGTCCCGTCACAGAGATGGTGATAGTCAACACACTGGTCCCCACTGAGGCACTGAACCTGGCCAGGGCCACAGGGGGTGGTACACTGCTGCTCATCACTCGCATCCATACAGTCTGTCTCCCCATCACACCGCCAGGCCTGAGGCACACACTGTCCACCAGTGGCACAGCTGAACTCATAGGACCTACAAGCTGGAAGAAACAGAGGGTGGTAAGAAAACTGAACAATGTAAAAATTCTCCCCCTGAATCCGTAAAACTCGACTTTTACCTGAAGTGGGCACAGTTGGGGTGACATGTGGGGGTGACGGTGTTACGATAACAGTGTAGCAAATGGTTCTGTTCTCATCCTCTCCACCTGGACAGTCAGATGTCCCATCACACAGCTTAGTGGTGGAAACACATGTGCCATCTCTGCAGGCAAACTGGTCAGGAGCACAAGTCACTGCCAAACAAAAGAGGACGACACAAGTTTAAAATTCCTTCCCAAAATTTGGCTCCAGGTAAGTTTTAAGAGTTACAATTTGTACCTTTACTTGGACAGACAGCTTCATCTGTTCCAGAGGGGCAGTCTCTGTGTCCGTCACACACTCTGTCTGCAGGGACACACATGTCCCCTGGGCACTGAAACTCCCCTGGTGCACATACACATCTGAAAACAGCCAAAATATTAGATAATGATGACCACATCATAGCTGCAAAACAAACTGCAAAGCATATCTATACATTCTGGCCCATCCAACCACTGAGTAACCCAAATACAAAATTTCAGCAGAACTGAACACACACCCCCTCTCATCACTAAGGTCCCCACAGTCATCATGTCCATCACAGCGGTGGAGGTAGAGAATGCAACGTCCTCCAGCACACAGGAACTCCCCTTTGTCACACACCACACCACAGTCTGGGGCAAACACAGAAAACAACACCCAACAATATAATACACGTATTATAACAAACACAGCCATCTTGCATTATAGAGATTGATATAATATCATCTCATTAGAATTTCTGATATAGCATGTTTATGATAGCGTGTCAACAGAGTATCTTGCTCAGTTAAGTTTGTTGGTGGAGTATACTACTGCACAGAGGTGTAAGTGACGGATCACCTAGCTCATCGGACCCATCAGCAAAACCACAGTCGAGCCGTCCATCACATACACGACTGGCTGGCAGACACTTTCCGCTGGCACACTGAAACTCCCCCGGTGGGCACAGGGGTATAGGGGTGGCAGGTCCACAGAACTCCTCATCTGATTGGTCAGCACAGTCTGGGTGGCCATCACAACGCAGAGCCAGTTTCAAACATGGTCCACTGCAAGAGTGGGATTAATTTTATTCATTCCATAAATTATATTTACAGCAGTGAAGAATGACAATAAAACCTGACTAAAAGTCTACGGTCCTGTTACCGACCATGTCAGGCTGTACTGTTCGTTACTCACCAGCAAACAAAATAGTCAGATGAATGAACAGATGCTGATATAATTTTGGAAGTTACATTCTTATCATAAGTGGACTACACAGCAACACTCAGTGAACTATTGGTTATCAACATGCTGATGTTTAAAATGAAACATGTAGCATATAAATAGTCTAGAGTGCAACCATTTAGATTAGGATACTAGCGTGCTAGCATGCCAACATGCAGATGCTCACATATAAAACATTATGTTGGAGTTACTGAGGCATTTGAAGACATGTCAACATTATGTTTAAGACCACATACATACTGCAGTTTCAACATGCTAACTACAGATTACACAGGTTAGGAGACATTTAGCATTCTAGCATGTTTACATACATGCCCATTGGGCTTTTAGCCTCTCCCTGCACTGTATGCTATTTGTTTTCTTTGTCATTTTTTATGTATTTTCAATTGTGCAAAATAAATAAATATATGAAAACACACAGCATCTAGCACATACATACATAGTAACATTTAGCATGCAACATGGACTGACAGACAGACCAACCAACCAACACTGCCATCTTTAGAGCTACTCCATGATATAAGCATGGTTAAAATGAAGCATATCTTGTTCAAAAACTCTTGTATTCACTCTCTTTTGTGCTTGTTAATAAACTAAAGTGAGTTTGGGTTCACCTTGGTGTGCTGGTGCAGCGGAACTGGTCTGGAGAGCAGGTGGATGGACAGAGCTCATCTGAACCATCACCACAGTCATCCTCATTGTCACACACCCACTGAGAGGGGATGCAACGGCCCCGAGCACAGGTAAACTCTGTTTCTAGACAGGGAGGGGAGGGAGGAGGGCAGGACACACCCTCACACTGCCACACACCATCCTGACAGGAACTGCACACAAAAAAGAAAAACAGAGAAAAGAAATTAAACTTTCTTGATTGTTTGGAAAATGAAAGAGTCATGTACTTTCATAAGCATTTAGACTGACTGACCAGTTTTGGCAGTTTTGAGTGATGGTGGTTCGAGGTGGAAACATAGAGCCCTCCCACTCACATGGACACTCAGTTGGAGCAATGCAGCTGTCTCCTATAGAACAGACAACATGCTGACAAATCTGCTATTCTAACAGCTGTCCAAGTTGTAAGCTAAAATAATATTTGTCCTGAGGGCAGCAAAAGAGGGAACACTGTGTTGTTTAAATCAGAAAGCTTTCTTCTTGAGCCAATTTGTGCACAAATTTGACATTTGGTCTTGGAGAAGGTATTAAGTGTCCAGAGTGGAATGGGTTCATGAAAAGCATCAGGTATTATCGTATCAGGTCCAATCTCACCAGTAGTTTTTGGGTAATCTTCTGGACCAAAGTGTTGCAGAGACGTGTTTGTTTGTTTGTTAAGGCTGAAAAAGCATCGGATTAGTGTGGTAAATCTGTCTTACCATGTTGGACAGTGCCAGCAGGGCAGAAGCAGCCCTCCACACAGGAGAGGACACCACACTGGGAGTGCGGGCTCTGCTGAACACTGGGACAAGAGAGAGAGCAAGCTGGACCACAGGGATCATACACAAGTCCATTCTCACACTGCAGAGCTGATGGGAACATAAAATGGATCAAAGACACAAAAGACAGCAAACAAAGTTACAGAAAGATGATAACACAAAACTTCATGTGCTTGTGTTTAAAATTCAGTGTGTGCACAACATACGACAGAGCTCCTGGGACCTCCAGCGGATGTAGATCCCTCTGCGGTTACACTCCTCAGCATAGGCAGCAATGGCTGTGCAGAGACATTCACAGTCCCCACCTGAGTCACAGCTGAAACACACACACACACACACACCAGTAAAATACTATCAACAGTACACATCTACAGTATTGCAGTGGGAACAAAAATTTCAAGAAAAAAACATCAGTAAAAGGAAACCTGTACATTCTGTTACCACCAGTAAGGCTGTTTTTGTTTCTGTACCAGCATGCATACTGATATGTTGTTGTGTTTGTTGTAGTTAAATGTGAAGACAGAAACTGTCTGAAAATCAGGTAGAGGATGGTGGAAGCAAAAGCAGAACAAATTCAGCTGTAAAAAAAATCAGTTACAGGTTAGTAAGTTCCTGTAGTTGAATTGCTATATAAACAGTAGATTACACCTTTTTAAAAGATAATTTCGAGACACTCAGTGTAGATAAGTGCCGTCACTCACCCACAAGCATCAAAGACACACCAGTCATAATACTGCTGGAAGGGCACCTCAGGGTGGCACAGAGAGAAAAGCTCCTGGGTCAGAACTGCACACCTTTTCCTTGCCCATGTCACTCTGTGCAAGTTCAGCTGAACAAAACAAAGAGAGAGAGGTTAGTTAGCTTTTGCTGTGTGTACGAGAGACAGAGCAAAGGACAGGATTTCATCAAAACTAGATTTGCAACAGTGTCCATGTCAGTAAGTAGGTCAAAGTCTACTGTTCCTGCAAATGTCCGAGTGTGTGTGAATGCGCATGGTGTCTGTATTGAACTTACCGCACAGGGATCTCGGAGGTCCTGATCTGCCACGTCAGGGCAGGAGGGGCTGACCTTCCAGGAGTTTCCAAACAGCTCAGCTGTAGACTCCACGATGCCCTGCCGTGTTGTGAAGTCGTTCTCTGTATCCCCGTCAAAGTTACCGCACAGGCCCCCAACCCGACCCCGCAGATGGGCAGCCAGACGCACATACACACGCATACCTGGAAATAATGTGGGATGACAACATGACCACTGGTTTGTTATTTAACTTGTATCTAAAGCCAAATATTTAAGCAGTGCACTGTAAATATCTACAATAATTATGGATAAAGTTCAGTGTGAAAATGTAAAATAAATATATATATTTTTGGCAATAATAAAAACAAAAGCTGATGTAGTTTTGTCCTACCCCCATCCCATAGTAGAGTGACCCCGAGTCGGGAGGACAGGGACACAAACATCCCAGCCCTTTCCAAAGTCAGACCACTGCCACTGTAGGACTTTGGCAGCGTAACTGGCATCCCGTTTACTGTCACAGCCTTACCTAAATGACAGAGACAAGACAGCTTATCTCAAGCAACTATTTCCTAAAGGAAAGTCTGTGATGCCCATTAGCCGTCAACTTGACATCATCTGGCCTCTGCTTCCCCCATAACACCTACCTCTCAGCAGGTGTATGATGGTATTTCCCAGGCTGAGGGTGACAGACTTTGTGCAGGTGACCCCGGTGCTCCCGCAGGGCACATTCTCCGCTGTGACACTGAACAAACCACTGGTCTCCCTTGCTAACACATACTGGCAGTCACCCAGGAAAGAGTAACAGCGGCCATCGAATGTTACATAGTGTGGATCCCCAGTTGCCACGCACACACCAGCACAAGCAGACTGGCTGCAGTGCCAGCGGCGCTCCTTACACACACTGCAGGAAAGAATTAAGTGTAGGTGAGATAAAGAAATGCTGAAGTGATTTGATGTGCAATGGGACAACTGCATACATTACCATGTGTTGCAGTCTTTAGTGATGGTGTCATTGCTGTAGTAAAGTCGACCATTATGGTGACATGGACACTCATCTGGCAGAACACAGCGATCACCCTGGAGTAAACCAGAAGACAGTAGTCAAAACTTTACTTAATTCATCAGACATATTTAACCCTTTTTGATGTCTTATCTGACGATAACCTAGAGCTAAATAAAATGACTATCAGACAGAATTCCAACTGCATGAAGGTCACACTGATTTCATGTGTAAGCTTGAAGGCAGGCAAAAGGCAAACTCCATTCCAATTGAAATGGGTTTCTTCAGCTATAATCATACTCCTGATATATAACAATACATTTAATATTTAATGAAACTTTTTACAATAAACTAAGCTGAGCTGGCTTTTTAAAAACTCTAGATTTCTAATCAGTTTTCTTATCATTTTGCATGACGCACCAAAGAAAGATCTATCACCTCACTACTTCACTACAGGAAACACTAATGGGAGGGAAAAGGGGGAACACGCTTTGACACAAGAGTGGCCCTCATATTTCTTGCTATCTGGGATGATAAAGGTACTATTGAGACTAAAAGTACTAGAGCTTGAGCTAGCTAGTTAAGCACAAGGATAGCTCTCAGTAATGCTAAACCTCTAACACAGGATAGCAGGAAGAAACTGTGTCAATAGTGTCAGTCATTGTGACAAACCCACCGATTATCCCATTATCACCAACTCAGTAGATCACCTCTAACGTTAGCTTCTAAGCTTTTGCCTCCGTCTGGCATCCTTAGGTTTATTGTATTGGTTTTCTACACTCAAATTTACTGTTCTGGTTCAGTTTCACTGCTTCATCAACCTCACTTCCGGCTGCAATTCAGTATTGCGTTGGCTTTCTGCATGGCTAACTAGAACACTGCGATGCAAAAAGAGGCTAATGACATTAACTACTACAAGTCAAAAGTTGTGAAAATGGTCTGTAGTTTCAACATTTCACATTTCAAAAGGATGTCCAATACACATTCAGAGAACTAAATTTGAGTTTCCACCCACTAGTAGGACAGTTCCTTGGGGACAGACACAGCCAGACAGGGGCTCTTTGCAGCTCGACTGCCCGACACTGGACCCTTGTTGTTGACCAGGGGGATCCAAACTGGAGCAGGTGAGGAGGCAGGAGCGTGGAGAGTAGATCAGAGAGCTTGGACATGGGTTCGCCTTCTCACAGCGCTCTTGAGTGCAGTTAAAAAGCCCCTGCTCACACACACTGCAAAGGGAAGAGGAGAGTGAGCAGATTGGGCACTGACGTCAACTGACAGGTGTTACAGTAATTAATGAGTGTACTTCTACAAATTCAAGCTTTATATTGAAATATCAGTAGGCAATAAGTAAACCAAAGTGGAATTGGAGTTCTAATGAGCAAAAGTGCCCTTGAGCAAGATACTAAAAGTTTACTATGGATCAATAAATTTTCATTTGACTGTTACAAAACTCTAAACAGTAGCTGTAAAATGTGATGAAGCAACAACAAAATATGCTAAGTGGTGTAATGAAAATCATATCACTGGTATACTCAGCCAAGGCTTGTCATTCAAGGTGAATGGATGTAATGCACGTCATACTTTATATGAGTGTAATAATTGTCCAATACAAAATTTCACTTTTCATGATAGCAGTTAATCAGGTCAATGGTCAGTGCAGGTACATAACTCAACAATTACAACACAATGATAGTGAGTCATGTACAAAAAGGAAAAAGCAGGCCACAGAAACACACATACACATACAATATAACTGGACTGAGACAAATCTAGTACTAGTACTAGTCTAGTACTACTGCAATGCAACAGATGACTCTGAGTGATGATCTTTGCAGTTATGTGGTGAAGAGACGCAATGAAATCAACCTATCCTGTAGCAGGGAGCAGGAACATAGAGAGATTTCATTAGAGCTCTTACATCACCAGGGACTCACTGTGAAAAACAAGCTGTCATACACAAGGGCAGTTTCAGTCATTCAAACACACATTATACTCTTTGCACAGACTGAATAAAAAGATGTTCATGACGTGACGTCACGCATAGGTTTCTAAGGGGCGGTTTTGAAGAAACCTCCTCCTTTGTCGCCATCTTGTCAGTGCCTAATTCCACATAACTCCCGGCAAACTAATCCAAAAGATGGGCAAATAGGTGGGGCGTGTGTGGAGCCGAGGTTTAATAACTGTGGTGAGCATATGCTTATTGCCTTTAGCATCGTTAGCACATCTGGGCGTCTTGGTCGAAGGCTAACCCAAGGCTAACTAATTTGCTGGCTAATTAGCTAGTCAACGAGCTAAGCTAACAAGCCTGTATAGTGTGCCAGACACCAATACCTGTTAAAAAATCACTCACCTCACTTATTTGTCTGATATTTGCTTGAAGAATAGTACAGAAGGCATCACCAGCACAACGGAAAGGTAACGCTAAGTATTCCCAATTGGCTGAGGTACCTAACCGTTTGACGGTTAGGGGACTATGACCCCACCCACCTGTCACTTAAAGGGGCCACGCCCTCAATTACCCGTAACTTGTTCTTCTTCTATGGTGTTTTACGGCAGTTGGCATCCAAAATGTTGCACTGCTGCTACTGCAGAACTTTAAGCCTTAATAAAAAATTTAATTGGTCATTTATATAAAATTTCACCCCTGTACAGTTGTCATGAAGGGGGAAATTAAGTATAGAGACTAAAACCGTTTTTTGTACCTGGCTGTAAACAATTATCCTGAATGCTATCACTGGGCACACACAGTTTTTCTCAAAAAACAACTAGAAAATACTTTACCATACTAACAGGATAATGCAATCAAATAACAAAAGCCTAATCAAATAAATGATGATTTGACACAAAACATTAGCACATAAAAACATTATGTCTCTGTGATCTTTTGCCTTTAGTATTGTCCTCAAAGACAAACATTGACAGATTTGTTCATGTTTTGAAGACTATACTGTATATTCAACAGAACTGTCTATTTCAGAGACTTAAGCCCATGCAATCTTATTCAAAAAGAGCTTGTGAAACTGTACCGAGAGATTATCTTGTAGATGCATCAAAGCTGTGTTCTACTGACAATGGAGAAAACATGCTTACTCACTCTTTTATCACAACTACCACATGATAAAAGCAGCATGCAGATAACTATAAAAGGAAGGTCCTTTTTTACGATGTGCTGTAAAATATCATCATCCACACAACTGGGCCACAAAGAGATTGTACTGAATTAACCTCCACCATAGGTTTAGTATGTCTGCTATCCTTTGTTGCAAGAGTATTGCATCTGTGCAGCGCTGTTAATATTTAACCTAAGGGACCAGAAAACGTTCAACTGTGGTTTCAGCTGAAGTCAGAGTGGCCTTTTATTTTTTGATTGCAGCAAGGAAGCTGGATCATATTTCCAGCACAACCTGATTGAATAAATATTTTAAACCTAAGGCAGACAGTGTCAGTCAAAATATTTAAAATATGTGTAATAAAAAGAGGCTCTTCTATACAACATACCATGTATTACAGTTATTCTGGATGACAGCCCCAGGCTGGTAAATCTTGTCTTCTTGCACACATGGGCACATGGTGATGGGCACACACTGGCTGTGGTGGTCCTGCACTAGTCCCGGTGGGCACTGGCAACCTGGAACACACATCCTAAGGCCCATCCCACCACCGTCATCACAGCTCCAGCCCTGCCACAGGTCTGAACAGGAGCCCCCGCATGCACGACCACACTCCTGGTACACCTGGCCCCCTGAACACTGGGGAGCTGTGGAGACAGGTGAATAGGAAAGATTTTGAAAATGGCAAATAAGCTTGGTGTAGTTTGTGATTATTGCTTTAAAAGTTAAAACCTAAAGGTCACTAAATTCTGTCAAGGGATTCTTAGTGCCAGTGTAAAATGTTTTTCTAGTTCCCACATGAGAGTGTGCACATGGACACAAGTTCCTGATTAAAGCTTTATATCTTCTAAAGTACAGCTGCCAACATTGTTAAAAGAGATGAGCAACACAGACACCCCATTAACTTTGACTTCTGAGATCAGTTCCCTATTGGCCTTCAAGTAGGCCAAGACACTAAACACTGGATAACTCTGGATATCTAAGCTGTCTCTGTATATACTGCTGCTGCTGGTGGAGGGGATCAAATCCAAGTCCAAATGAAGTCACTAGTTAGTGATGTTGGTAAATTCAAAGTCACGTTATACTGTAAGTCTTTCTTGAGTCTGATGTCAAAGTCTGACTCAGGTCCAGGTCATGTCACCCTGCACCTTAGGAAATGCCACAGTTGTGTCCTGCACTTGTTATGTCTTGGACCATTCAAAAGCCTATCAGTGATGATTGAGATTACTCATATGGCAGATGAATGAACAAACAACAAAATGAATGCAGTAGATGATCACTCTTCCCCTGACTGCACTCAGACATCTGTAGACATCTCAATCACCACTTAGCCAATGGCATTCCGACTTACGGCAGAAGGTGTGGTTGCGCCACTGGACTGCAACGCCCTCCTGAGCACAGTGTTGGGCGTAGGCAGTGAGGACGGTGCAGTGACAGGCCTTCTGTGGAGCGCAGCCACAAACCTCCGACAGACAGAGACGGAAATAGGGCTCCCTCTCCACCACGTCATGACAAACCTAATGGATTACAGAGGGAGGTGCAGGTGTGAATAAGAGAGGGAGACAGATGAAGGCGAACTCACTCATGAGATAGCAGGAGATTTAACACACTCCATACACACTACCTTAAAGACAGCGCTGTGGATTACGGAGCACACCGTCTCTGCGTAGTATCTCCTCTGGGTGTATGTGGTGCAGGGGTCAGACGGAGCTCCTCCAGGTAGAGTACAGTGCTCTGATGTGAATTTCCCTGCAAAGGATGACACACTGTTCTCCACGTCTCCTTCTGGGGTGGTAAAATCATCATGCTGGTTCCAGGTCAGCGTTCCACACAGGCCTCGCACCTTGAATACAAATTAAATACAATTTGAGTCTCTTGTAGCTAAATTTAGTGCAGCATGATTTAAAATGACACAAGTGCATCTGCAGTTTGAACTATTTTCAGAATGTGAAGGTGCACATCCTGCACTTAAGTTTGTTTCTGATGGGGGTCCAAAATGGCACCAGTGAATGAACCATATGAGATGTTAGAATCACCTTGTTTGCAAACCCAGGTTGCAAAGTGATGAGGGCTAAAGGTCCATCTAGGTACCAGAGTAGCTGGGCTCCAAAGGTCTGGATTAGGAGAAATGAAGAGGAGGCCCTACGCACAACTAGGTCCCCTGTTACCACAGGCAACGCCTCTCTCTGGCCATTCAATGTCACTGTACCTGGAAGTACCAATATCAACTGTAAGCAATCAGAAGCCAGTGAAAACATTCAAAGTGAAGACTTCTCACAGTAGTGAGTAAGACAGCTTTAGGACTCATAGGACTTATAGTCTTACATTAAATGAAATGTTTTTTGTTGATTTTTATAATATATACACATAATTTTTCTAATATTAAGAAATATTTTATATTTTTCCCTTTCAAAAATATCAGTAAATTAATTATTTAAAAGTTTTGTTGAGAATTATTGGATGTAAATGCTGCATCCAAGTGTAAAGCAGCATTAATTTATTACTTCCTTTTTTTTCCGGCCATTTTTCTGGAAACAGCTGCCTGCTTCTACTGGAAACAAGGTTGATGGGAGCAGTAGGAGTAAACCAAAACCATAAAGTTGTAAGGTGTAAAATCAAAACAATGAGCTGAGAGGCACTAAATAGTCATTTGACCCATTGTTAATTAAACAAATATTGATTAATATGGTGAAAACATATTAAACATACACCAGATCCAGCCGATCCAGGGATATTTAAAACTTCAGAGTGTACTGAGGTTTGCAGTACTCACAAGGAACGACTTGTCAGGCAAGAGTGTTGATGAACTCACCAGTGTCTGTGAGCGTGACTGTGGTGCGAAGTGCTGTGACTGACATCTCCCTTAGACAACCCAGGCCTCCTCCTCCTCCTCCTCCTCCTCCTCCTGCTGTACACTCCACACAGCGCACATTCACCACAAGCTTCCTGTCAACAAAGTCCTGAACACACACAGAGCTTAAGCACAAAGGAGAAGTGGCTACCACACAAACAAATGCACCTCAATATTTCATTTACCAATGGTTGCATTTGATGTCTCACCTCTACAGCAGTGAACGGACAGCCTCCGCACTGTAGTGAATACCTCTTTTTGTCAAAGGTGGTCACCTTTAGCGCCCCCATCAGGCTGCATTGGGCTGCGCACCTCTCCCCAGTGCACTGCCACTGGCCTGCTCGGCACACGCTGGGAGGATTAGGGTGAAAAAGAAAAATGGGTGGTGTTAAAGGGAAAGTAGAGATAAGAGAGGTGTAGAAATGAATCAAACACACATTTCACCCTCACCAGGTGTTGCATCTCTGCTGTATCCTGTCTCCTGACTGGTAGGTGCGTCTGCGATGGAAACAAGGACAATCGTCTCTTTTTAGACAGAGTCCCTGGTGAAGGTAGAGGCCCGGCGGACACTCACAGCCCCCCACACACTCCTCCCTGCACTGGCCAACGGCTGCAGCAGGCCCTGGGGGTTGCGGGGAAGCACAGCTGGGGGGACAGGAGGACACACAGTCCGAAAACACCTGACCTCTGGGACAGACGCGACCTGGAGAGACAGAAGGAATAGGAGGAAAAGGAGTTAAAGTCCCAACCCATATACTTGTATCTGTGACCAGAGGGTGAGTCTGTGAAGTGGGGATTCAGGAGGTGATCAGTATCATTTACTATTGCAAGTGCAAGGCATGTGATACAGCATCCTCTGTCCTCGATTTTCTAACTGGGTCAGGATTAAGATGTGTCAAGATGGTGCGCAGATCAGTTTTTTCAGGCCTTTCATGGTTATTGAAGTGAGTTCAGCTGGTCACTAGTGGTTGGGTTCTGAGGGACCCGGGTATCTTGAGTACTGGTGCGATGGAGATTGTTTTCTAGAGGGCGGGCATTGATGCTGTCCTGTGGGATTCCCAGTAGCTCCTCACAGGTAGCAGAATGGTCATCGGGGTCATGATAGGTGTAAAAGGTGTTCAGAGCAAAGGTTGTAGGATCAGTTTTGTGGAATTATCATGTCTTGATTTATATCTAGTCAGAGTTTTCACTTAAAGCTTTGTTTTGTGTTTGTATTTAATGCGGCTTAATTCATGCTCCAATCGTTATAGTTGATTTTGGCATTGATAATATCATACTTAATCTACCTTTTGATAGTTTAGATTTGCGATATATTTATAATATTTATATATATTATACTATATTTATTATATAGTTGTAAATCAGTGGAATCATTCTGCGGTTTCAGGCTTTCCATGTGTCGTTCTGGTTTTAAAAGCTTTTAACAAACTGAGGGAGGGTTTATGACACAAAATAACTACAAAATGATGGTTATAGCTGCATTTTACCATAAATATTCTTTCATTCCCAACAGGATTCCTGACAGTGTTGATGCTTTTACACTCTTATTCCATCGCTGCAGCTCAGAATAACATGAGGAGACTTTGTGATGACAATTGGACAGAAAAACTAAACCCAGACAGTGTGTGTGTTTTACCATAAATGCCATGTGTCTATTTTAAAACCTTATCCAGATGGACCAACAGGTTGCCCAAACGATGATATTACCACAAAGGATGGCTGTCCTCCACATTATGATGACATGCTGTTGGGCACACTCTCGGGCGTAGCTGGCCAGAGTGTCACAAACTGCCCCGTCCCTCTCTTTGGGTGGCAGGCTGCAGTACAGGTACAGACAGGTGTCGATGTATGCTGCTGGGTCCAGCTGAAAGACACAGACACACAAACATAACACTTTTAACTGTGAAACTGCATCAAATAACATGTAAAAGTCAGAAATGTACAAATCCTGTGCATAAACAATAGAGATGCACAGTATTGATTATGGATATGTATGAATTATTTTTTGTGTTCATTGATTAATAGGAATGGGGAAAACCTTTACAAAGCACATGAACAGGATATGCAAACATGCACATTATATACAGTATTACATTGTGTTATAAGTATAAATAATGACTGAAGTAAAGCCAATACCTAAATTCATAAATTCCTAATAACCAGAATTGTGTAACTCTAAGTGTGTGGTAATACCACAGAGGTTATTTCTAGGAAATGCTGAATGTGTCTTGAACTAAAACTACTCATTTCATTCTGCTCTGCATGCGTCATTTGTCTTTAAATCAGTTCCATGGCTCACATCAGTGAGACCCATTTCTTGGAACTGCTTTAACTGATATCTGGTAAATAATTTACTCTGAGGAGCTTTTTGATTTACAGCTCATTACACAAATTTACAGGCTTGGCTTTCAAACAAATTAGATTAACCCTTGTGTGGTGTTCGGGTCTGTGGGACCCGTTTTTATTTTTTATCAAAAGAAATATTATATGATTAAGTATTTTTTCAAACCCAGACTCATTGGCCTTGGCTCATTTTCTGTGAAGAATATTTATCAGAACACATTTTCAATGACCACACATTGTACACCCCCCTACACATTTTATATTAACCATACAAGTATATGCTGTTTACTGTATATTGCTTGTAATTGGGATGAAGTAAACATCTGTTAAGTATTTTAACAGAAAATTGTTTGATTGTGTTGAATTAAACCCCAACAAATGCAACGGGTCCACCAGACCCGCCAACACTGGCTGAGTAACAAAAATATGAACATCACACAAGGGTTAAAGAATCTTTTTGTATCTTAGTGTCAAAAAGGACCATGGGATCTGGTGAGTTGGCAAACAGTGGTAACGCCAGGTGACTGATACAGTAAATATTAGGGGCGTCTGACCTGGGGTTGGCAGTGTTTGAAGGGATTTTCCAGGAGTCGATGACACACAGATTCTGCCTGCCTACGCAAAGCAATGTCTCCTGAGACATCACAGCTGTGAAAGAGCTCAGCCGCATCGCTGCAGCCCTGAGGGAAGCGTGGGACACAAAGATTCAGAGACTCAATTACTGAGGGTGCATCTCAAAAATGCATTTTTAATAATTACTTAAAACAACTTATAGAGAAAAATAAATAATTGTTAACAAAAGTATAATGTTGAAAAAAAAGGGAAATACTCAGTGTATTCAGGACATTACCTCATTCTGATGGTCAGGAACTTTCCATGAGTTGCCGAAGCTAGCGGCGAACTGGGACACAGTTCCACCCATTGTGGTAAAATCATCTATAATAGAAGAAACAAATACCCTGTTACATCTGCACAGTAGTGATTAGGGTTTAGGTGAGTCAAGTTAAACCCAAACTAATCACTGATCGGAGACCAAAACAGAATTCACTAACGTTTAGTTTCCAGTCTCACAAAATGGTTCACAGATGAGAGGCACAGTAACCGAATATGGGAAATTTACTAAGCTTGTCACAAATTGCTGTCATGTAATGTTGGGTCACTGCTATTTACGTTTGTAATTAAACCTAGTTCATCTGATTTGCACAAAATTTGGTATTTGCACAAAATACCACTAAGCCAAAAAACTTAAATTAGGTCTGAAAAGTAACAGAGCACAAACACAAATGATTTCTTGTGATCTCAAAATAATGTCATTACAAAAATGATTTCAGGTACGGCATGAGCTGGTGTTTAATGCGCTTATCTCACCATCAGCGTTGTTGTTGTAAACTCCACAGAGCCCCCTGGTGGACGCCAGGTGCTCGGCGGTCACTGTCAGGTAGACCGTATTGGCCATGTCAAACTTTACTCTCACACCCAGGCCACTCTCCACAAACACAAAGTCCCCCAGCCAATGAACACTCACTCCTGTAAGGAAGATAAAATAAATATGGTTGTTCATCTACAGCATTTTATTAAGGATTAAGGTCAGTGAAGAGTATTTCCATCCATCCATCCATCCACCCATCCATCCATCCATCCATCCATCCATCCATCCATCCATCCATCCATCCATCCATCCATCCAGTCACTTAGACAATGGATATGAAGTCATGCAATATTAGGAGATAATGTAAAAATGCTGTAAATTATTGCCAGTAGAGATAAACCCAACAATGCTCTGCTTGTAGGTATTTAAACTGGATGAACACAGGGAATTGGTCAACATAAAAGACACTTAATTTACATTGCACTCTTGAAAAAATAAAGTTTGTTTTATGTTTTAAATGGATTAAAGTCTATTTCTTTGTGTACTTGTGTACTTGGTTCAGTACAGATACCAATCTGTGTCATGAAGCAACAAAAGCATAAGGGGGATTTTCTATTATTTGTACCTAGATTTCCTGGTTAACAATATCAGATTAGAAATGAAACTTTAGTGACATCAATTTACCATTTTGGAAAAGAGGTTCTCCATTTGGAACAGGACGGCTGTTCAGTGTCAAGTTACTGTGAAGAACTGAAACCAAGTCTAGACCCAGCATCATCTTTAAAGCCTGAGAAAGACAACAACAAGTTAGCAGTTATTTCCATTATATTGTCTTATTGCACAATGGCAAATCATAATCAAAGTTACAAGATAAACTGGATTTCACTGGCCCCCAACTAAGCTCCACAACGCTTTATCAACTCCATCAGCGGTGGAATCTGCCTTGTTTCATACCTTACTGCAGTCTCCTCTCCCATCACAGACTGTGCTGATGTAGACTGCCCATGTCCCATCAGTAGATGAGGCCAGCAGGTAAGTGCAGCTGCCCTGGAAGTGGAAGTGCTTCCTGTCAAAAGTGCGGTAGTGGGCTCCCCCCCAGGACATGCAAGTGGCCGAACCCTGTGGCACCCTGGCGCTACCCAGCAGACCACTACGCACCAGTGGGGAAGACTGGGAGTCTGGAGACAAGGGAGAGAGGAGGGAGAAGTAGTATAAATGATTCATATAGTACTTATAGTGTTGTAGTAATATGAAATACAAACATTGATGTCTTGATGAAGATAAAGAGTATCAGAAAGAAATGCAGGGGGATTTAGGGAATGAGAACCAAATCAAGGACTAGTGTTTTCTGACCAGGAAGGAGAGTGTAGGTGCAAGACAAGCAGGTCTGGTCAGAGGCGTTTCTCCATGTCAGTCCCCATAGGCTGCTGCAGCACTGCTCCAAGGACATTAGGGAGGAGTTATGAATACCGGGGAACTCCTCACAACTCCATGTAGAGTAGCACTGACCGCGCACGCCCACACCTGGGAGGAAGACAGCAGAAAGATTAGGTTTGAAAAAGGATAGAGAGGAGAAGGATCAGAGACATGCAAAGGAAATTTTCCGGCATGTATAAAGGTGGATTTTCTTAGATTCACAATAGTTGCTTAAAAAGTTTTGAGTCTATAAAGAAACTAGTGATAAATCACTGTTAGGTTGTTTTTATTCTATTATGTTATAGTGATTTGTAATCACTTCTTATGTGCGATTAAATGAAAATGAGCCTGACAACACCAACAACCAATGTTTGGAAAATATACAATATTTTAGAGCATAAAAGAAATAAGCAGTAAAGTCATATCATTTTTACTGTGCTGTCTAAGTTTGAACATATACCACTATACAAAAGTTCAGATTGGTTCTATTTTAACATTTCTACCGATTTGTAGATAATGATTTAATATTTTGTTTATCAGCAAATCTGTATTTGGAATTTCACTACTGATGGTGCAGTGTCTCATGTCACATGTAAAGGAAGCATGATGCATGCATAATGTACATGGAACTGATCTGTTGGTTTCTTGTCCTCACCCTCAGAGCAGCGTGGGCCGCCCCAGCCCTCACAGCATGCCCTCACTGTCTTGTTCACCATCTTGCTCTCCATCTCTGGGGGTCTGAGGAGGGCAGACACATCAGGTGAAAGTCAGTATATACATAACACTGTATGTCAAAGTCAAAAGACTGACAGTCATTCAGCTTTCCACTTACTTGTACAAGAAGCAGGAAGCCTTGGGCCCCTGCTGTTTGTAGTAGAGTGCGATGCCGTCGTCACCTCCATGCTTGACACGCATCCTGTCCACGTCTAGCCTCCAATCCCGGGTGTTGTACTGATAAACCTCAGAGCAGCTGACTTCAAGCTGTAGACGTGGGGACAGGACTCTCTCCACTCTCTCCTCCACTGTGTGTTCGCACCAGTGTCTGGAATGTGATACATAGATTTAATTTCCTCGCTAAGCCTCTGTGTTCAGGTGCAGTGGTGTGTACAAAGATACTTGCACCTGACCCAAGGTCCTCAGTTCCTCAGTTAAGAATAAACTTCAATTAGGTTCCTTCATAAAACCACATTGGAATTAGTATTAAAATATTATCAGTAACCATGTAATACTAATGTAATAATATGGCATGCAAGCCCCTTATTGAAACCATGCCCAGCAGAAGCTTATGAATCTAATTCAAAGGTACTTGTACTTGACTCAAGGTCCTGGAATTTAAAAAGAAAACCCAGAGTACTCCCACAAACCTTAACCACTTCATCTTCAATACAAAGTCTGACTAGAGTCTCTAAATATCTACTGTGGCAAGTATTTCTAACAGAAACTGGGTTAAAATGAGCACTTGCACCTGAAGAAACATTATTGTAAAATTAATTTACCATAACTTTAACCACGGTTAACACTGTGATCTGTAGGCTACATTCAGACAGGTGAATCATCCTCATGACATCCTTCATTGCCACATTTTATTTCTCTGCATAGTCTTTCTCATCTCCCTTGTCTCACCTCCCTGATACGTATCCATACGCTATACTGGTCTGAATCATACTCACCCCATTCCCATCACTGTCTGAAGTCCAAGCAGAGTCAGCAGCAGTGTCTCCATGGTCCTCTCCTAAGTATTTGTACAAAAAAAAAAAATCCTGGAAAAAGGTCCACATGTAAGTCCTTATCCAACCCATATAAACTGATCAAACCATTCCATATTAAATTCATTGAATTCATACACATTTCTATAATCCCATCTTCCTGCTATAATTAAAGGTATCCTTACCTTTGAAGTGCTTTTGGGAACTCTTTGGATTTTTTCCACAAAAAGTCCTTGGCTTGTTAAATAATATTCATATTTTTTTTGTGTTTGATTTCATTTTTTTTTTCTGTCACTTTTTTCTTTTCTTTTTGCTCTATCCACAAGTATGCAATACAGTCCACAGTGAAGTGATGCTTTGCCTTATAGGGGGAGCAGAGCCCCAGAACCAGGGTTTTAAATGCGGGGGGTGACTCATGGGATGTACAGTAGCATCTGAACCTGCTGCCATTGGACATGACTGGTAATGTCACAGCTGGGAAAGCAGGCATTGGTTGCCAGACCTGTGACGGACGCATCCTCTGAACCTCACCCTGTGAAACATTACAGGACGCTGTAGGTGACTGCAGGGGTGGTGGAGCCTCAGCCACAGAAGAAAGAGATGTTTGTCAAAGCCTAATCCTGTAAAGAGACACCTTTCGGGAAGGGTGATGGGGGCATTTATTCAATGAAGCGTGTCAACAGACATGGGAACTGAAAGCTTTTAGACTCACCACTATCCCAAGTCTGACCTCCTGACCCCGCAGCGAGGAGGCTCAAACACAGCTGTCACCACAGTACACTTTAGCTTGAGCCTAGAGGAGAGGGAGGAGAAGCTACTGTTGGCACAAGATTTTTGCTTTAATAGTATAAGCAAAAAAGTGTGTCAAAATTGACTTCTTTACTTTTCCTCCATGTAGGCCAAAACTGACTTTCCATTGCAGCCTTGGAGCCTTTGTGTGTCTTGACAGAGATAACAGTTAGCTGAGTCACTGTGTTCACTGTGTCTTAAAAAGCCTCTTGGATAAGACATGAAACGTCCTCAAATATCTACAACCAAGTCCAGTTGCCCTCGATACAACTTTTCTGGGAAGAGTCACTGTGTTGGTTCTTCATTGTGATTTATAGAAAGACGGAGAGAGGAGAGGGTAAAGAGGGAGGTTAGAGGTGAAGGTTTTATTAACCCTGCGTTCAGACAACAAAATACAAGAATAAGAGTCTGCAGCCATGCCAGCAGCTGCATGAGGCTGTTTGAAAGCACACTGTAAGCAATTGCTGTAAATTTACAGCCAATTTTCAACACTAAAATACTGTTTTCATGTTTAACAGTTTAGTACTGTAGTTAGCAATGCATTGTGGGCTTCTTAACTTAACTAAGGCCGTAAACAGTATGCTGATGTTTTAAATTACAGGACACTACAGTATTTTTGGGAAATTTTCCAGAACAGGACGGACAACTTAGTGGACATGTGCTGCATATCATCAGCCTTCATCACCATCATTCCGGTCTTGCATCGACAAAATTAAACGGTAAATTAATTAAAATCTTATTTTCTTTGCCTGTGTGGGGTCTATCTTATTGATATTGCCAAGAATATTTGATATAACGCTCAGGAGTTTGTGTCGTTATACAGTGATGCTTAGATTTGAATAAACTAGCCGAAACAATATTAGGACTTTGTTTTTTGTTGTTGTTGTTTAATCTTGGTCTGCATCCGAGGAGCAGCACCTGTTAACGAGAGGCCAACATTATATCTTGCCCGGTGGTTAACGATTTATTTCAACCAAACCATAGGATTTTTTGGAACATCGCCTAGAGATAGTTTTGGTGAGTTTTATTTTGTTTGTGTGGACTTTTAATGAAGTGTGTTTTAGAATGAGCTAACGGAATTAAGCTAGTTCGGTGAAAGAGACACTTGAATCCTCAAGGCTTATAGGGTTGTATTTGTCCGTTTAAAACGGAAAATTGCTGTGAAGATATTGACTTTCTGTACTCTTTGTAAATGCATTTTGTTTATTTCTCTGTCACTGTCCGCTTCACATATCCTAACGTTAGTTCTCCCAACTCCGTATATGATTTGTCAAACCGTTTTGCATCAGCTGTGGCTTTTCTTTCATAATCTTAACATTGCAACTCAGTTAAGGTTAAACATTTCAGCGTTAAGACTGATACGGTGGCACTAAAAAGCAGCCAGAAATGATCTTCTGCTTGACATATTAAGCAATTGTCCATAGCCCTGAGAATAATGAAGTTCTAATATTGATTGCATTTACTGATATTCTAGGAAACTGCTAAATTGAGTTATTGTATTAATATCTACTGTGCCTGTCTACAGTAAACTATGAGAAGTTAAAGTAACATGTTGAACAGAATATCATTGTAATTTCCAAATAATCATAAAAATATGCTGCATTTATTTTTTTATTTTTTTTACTGTATTAGATATACTAATTAGATATATAAATATACTGTATTTCTGGTTTACAGACTACTACTGTAAAGTCAATTTACAGTATGAATACCGTAAAATTACAGTATATTGCTGGCGTCCCTGCTGCCAGCTCTTTACCGTCAATTATAGAAATACAGAAATATACCGTATTTCTTGTTTACAGTCTACTACTGTAAAATCATTTTACGGATGAATACCGTAAAAAAAACCGGTATATTGCTGGCGCCCCTGCTGCCAGCTCTTTACTGTTATTTTACAGGAAAATTATTTACAGTGCACAGTTGTGCTTTGCGCTGATGATAACGTTAGCATGCTAACATGCTCACAATGACAATACTAATGTTGTAGTCATAATGTTTTCATGTTCAGTATCTATTCTGTGTTAGTATGTTAGCATGCTAACATTTGCCTATTACCACTAAATACAAAGTGCGGCTGAGGCTGATGGGAATCATTACTTGTTCAGGTACTTTGTCATAACCAAAATAATATTTTGATCTGATGATGCCACTGGATGAAAAGGCAGGAAATCAGTTATACAATTCAACCAAAAATGTCAACTTCATGGTGACACTAAAAGGAAAAGTCTGGGAATTGTCAAACTCTACAAAAACTTCATGGCAATCCATCTGGTAGTTGAGATATTTTGGTCTGAAGCAGTGGGCTGGCCAACCAACACAAGACACTGCCGTCCCGTAGCCGTGGCTAGTTTTTTTTAAGCAAAATGTGTATGGAAAGTCACTCTCCTCATTACAGTTGATGAGATAAATTAACCAGAAAGTCCAAGAAGCTTCAGGTTGTTTTTTGTACAGGTGAAAATTAGAAACACAGACATCTTCACACAAACTTACAGCGTACCTAAATTTCAGACAGAGGCCACTAGTAAGCAAGCTTGGTGCATTCAAAATGCAACATGGAAAATGATGGAACAAAAAAAAATACAAGGCTGAAACATAGTTTAAAGTAATCTACATTTATGTCCTCGATTACTTTGGGGGGACACGTTGGGAAATTGGGGCACAGCCCTCTGCACCACACATTACTAACAGTGAACTATAGAAATTGTACCAGTCAAATTAAAACTAATTAGCCTAAAGTGAAATCAAGCTGCTCAACCAGCTGATTCAGGTATAAATGTGTGTAGCAAAAAATACACATTAATATGCAACAAGCTCTATTTTCTAGTTTAATATTGACACTGGTGCCACATAAGCCTTATATACAAGGTAAAAAGAATATAATGTTCAGTTACATGAAAGGGAAAGCTTTCACTTGAGCCTCAAACAATGATCACTTGGAGCAAATGAACGGGCAAAGTACAACCTTGTCACAATAAATGTATTACAAGTTGTAAAACATGCAACAATGTGCTCTACAGCTTTTTGGATCTAAAAGTCTGACATCACTCTCAGACTTTTAGACTCAACTTTTGGTGATATGTTGCCCCTGAGCAGCTTCTCTAGAGAACCAGAGGTTTGTGGCTAAAAGCATTTTAATGATATCTGACATATTAGTGTTTATTGCTGCATTTCACCAAATTGCAGCCAGGGAAACCTGAAAATTCCCCATTATTGAAGCTTAATTATTTTTTTTACAGTTTTTGATTCCAAATTCATTTAAATTTCTCACAAAAGAGTATATGGTAATAATAGTAAAGAAATTATTATGACTAAATTTGAACAAAAAACAATTTCGACAGGCAACTGAAGATATTCATCACCTGGTTTGAATCGTATTTGAAGGATTTGGACTAATTACACATAAAACATTTCACAGAAAACTAAATTTCCTTCAGTAAAACAAAATAATTGTTTCTTGAGCCAAAGAAGAATCATTAAAAGTTAGTGCTTGGCTTCAGTCTCTAACATTAAAAAGACCATAATCCAAGCCAGAAATCTTGATGTAGTCATCGACTCAGATCTAAATTATAACACCACGATTCAGACAATTAAAGATCAACCTACAATCACCTTAAGAATATATCAAGAATTAGAGGACTCAGCAAGATTTAGAAAAACTTCTATATGTTTTTATCCTCAGTAGGCGAATATGTACTGTAATGGTGTCTTAACAGGTCTCTCTAAAAAGTGGAACACTTGCAGCTACAGTCCTCACTAAGACCACTAAAGAGGACAACATCAGTCCAGTTCTCGGGTCTTTACACTGTCAAAGAGCTGACTTTAAAATACTTCTGGTTTATAAAGCACTGAATGGTTTACATTCCTGATCTGCTGCTAGATTACAAACAATTCAGATCTCTCTAAAACTAAACTAAACTTTTTATATTGCCATGCATTTTTTTTCTCATGTTTTTTAGGTCTGATTTAAAGTACTTTAAATTGCCCTTTTGTTGAAAGGAGCTTTACAAATGAACTTCCTTCACCTTGAGCTGGATGAATTAAAAACAGCACCTGTTATTTCATCATATTTACAACACACTGTTGGCCAATCAGCCCCCGTCACTGCAAAGTAGGAGGTTAAATATAAGCAGCAGAGCATTGAACAGTGCATTAAGAGAGTTTTTCTTCAATTGCTGAAGCAGGAGGACTGGATCGATCCACCTTAGTTTACAAAGCGCCTGAAGCAAGAGGATGACTACAGGTACAGTGGCTTGGTCTGTTTCTTTGTTCCTAATACAGCTAGAGGTGTTTTTAAAGGAAGCAGTGGACTTCTCTAAAGTCAGTACATCAAGTATCACAACATTACATAAATGCTATTATGTAATCTGTAAGGTTAATAATTAAATAAATTCCAAAGAATGTGACAAATTACACTGAGAATGTCATGGGAATTTTAAAATTGACCCAAGAGTGAAGTGCACCTTGCAGGTGTGCAGCATGAACAACGCAGGAAAATAAACAGAGAGCAGAGAGAGGGACCATGTTCACAATGAATGTTTTGTAGCAGTGGCTGATACATGCTTTTTTGTGTTCCTGTGGAGAAGTAGAGAAGAGAGTGATATAATAAAAGCAAATAGAGTGAAGAGAACAATGAAGGATTGCTTATCCAGCTGTGAGAAAGGAGAAGAGGAAGGTGGGTGAGCCAAGTATTTCCTTGGAATTCTGCAGGAGAGATTGTTTTTCATTCTTTAGCTTATTAGAAGCTTGAGACTCTAAGACACAAAATATATGAATGGCTATACAATTTTTTGGGAGAAAAAGTCTGTTTTTATTCATTTGAATAAATAGAAAGAAAGCTCTTCTTTCTGGAACTCCCTATTTCAAACTGTTAGAAACATGATTTTCTCTTTTCAAGAATGAAAAATTATTAAGTGATTTCACTGAACGTATTCAGTTTTACTCCTTAATTTACTGTATTCACGCTGGACATTCTTCTCTCATTATATTACAGCCATGAGGCTTCTCTGTCTGCTGCAGCTGGTCTGTTTGGTTGGTTGTAGTGATTCCAGGAGAAGAGACTGGGCTCATCATGGCGCCCCCATGTTTGCCGACCTCACAGTCCATGAGATAAAAGCTGTCCGGGCCTACCTGCATGGTATTCCAGAGCTGGACCTTACTGATGCTCGTAGCAAGACTCTACAGAAGAACAGCATCCTCCTGATTGAACTCCATCTGCCAAAGAAACATGAAGCCCTGAGAGCTCTGGACCGTGGACAGGCCAAACCCCAACGCCAAGCCCGTGTAGTCATCCAGTTTGGGAAAAAGACCAAACCCAGCATCACTGAGTACATTGTCAGTCCTCTGCCCTCCCCAAATTCTCATGTAGTCAAGACCTTCAAGGGGGACAGGCCTATTCGGTTTGAGTCAAGGCCTATTACTGCTGCAGAGTATGAACATATGCATGACATCCTCGTGAAGATCACAACCAAAGCTCATAAGCTTCTGTTTGAGACCACAGGAGGGTTTTCCTTCACTAACTGCTCTGACCACTGTCTGACGTTCTCTGACATAGCCCCCCGCGGGCTGGGTCCAGGTGAGAGGAGAACCTGGATTATGTTGCAGAAGTCTGTGGAGGGTTATTTCATCCACCCAGTTGGGTTCGAGGTACTGGTCAATCATCAGGACCTGGACCCCGAAAGGTGGACTGTCGAGAAGGTCTGGTACAACAGCAAGTACTTTGACAGTGTTGAGGAACTGGTAGAAAAATATGAATCAGGAGATGTGGAGAGGGTCAAACTGCCCGAACATAACGCCGATGACCTCTACTCCACCTACATCCCCCGGGGTCACAGCAACACTCCCACCAATATCCATGGGCCAAAGCTTGTGGAACCTCAAGGGCCTCGCTATCAAGTTGACCACAATTTTGTCGAATACTCTGGATGGTCTTTCGCCTACCGAGTTCGCTCAACAGCTGGGCTTCAAGTCTTTGACCTCCGTTTCAATGGAGAAAGAATTGCCTATGAGATCAGCCTCCAAGAAGCTATTGCCTTCTACGCTGGTGATACTCCTGCTGCCATGCAAACAAAGTATATTGATGCTGGCTGGGCAATGGGCAGCTCAACATATGAACTTGCGCCTGGAATTGACTGTCCAGAAATTGCCACCTTCGTTGACCTTTACCACTACTTTGACACAGACAAACCTGTGCTCCACAAAAATGCACTCTGTATTTTTGAGATGACCACTGCTATGCCTCTGAGAAGGCATTTCAACTCTAACTTCAAGGGGGGGTACAACTTCTACGGGGGTTTGGAAAACACTGTGCTGGTGTTGCGGACGACCTCAACGGTTTACAACTATGATTACATCTGGGACTTCCTATTCTACCAGAATGGGGTGATGGAGGTAAAGGTCAGCGCCACTGGATACATCCACGCCACTTTCTTTACACCTAATGGACTTCACTATGGTACCAAGGTGTATAACTATGTGCTGGGTAACCTGCACACACACCTAATCCATTACAAAGTGGACCTGGATATTGCTGGTTAGTATTCCTGTAGTCACCTAGTTTTTTTATATCCTTTTTACAGAAGTAACTCTTTATTTACCACTGACCTCTTTGTAAAGATCCTCAGTTATACAGGTCATGATATATCTTAGAGCTTTAGGCAACTGGATTAGCTTGAGGGTCTTGAAGATGTTTTACTTCTCATCTGCAAGGCTTCTTCAGTTCTTGCAGGCTAGTGGGGAGGGCCAGGCATTTAACTTCTTGTGGGGTCATTGACACCTTGAGGGTCGTTGAGGAGAGTCACTGACCCACCTGGCCATTGTGTGAGTCTTTAGTGTCTGATAAATTCTGATAATAGTAATGATAGTTAGTTCTGATAATCCCCAGCTTGTGCTTCCAGTGGGTGGTGTTTATTGGCCATAACCATAATCCTTTCCCATACCGTAGTTGTCCGGCACAGACATTTTATGAAGCTGGAATATGTATTATATTAAAACCTTATACGTTATTGTGCAGAATGCGCTAATATTGACATTCTTGGTTGGCAATGTGGTCAGGAAAAAAAAATTCAAAAACTAAGACAATGTGGTTTTTTTGCTCCCTTCCCTCCCTCTCAATACATTGTGTTAATAGTGTGTATTTTGAAGCTGTGAAGACAGTGAAATGAGGTAAAGGGCACACAGGAAATTATCTTTCACCAGGTCTTTTATTTATGCCAATCCAGATAAAATGTCTTTCTGGACTTCAACCCTGTCATAAAGGAGGCACCTAACTGTTCTGTTGAAATGTGTGCTCAAAGCTATGTGCTATGTTGAAGTCAACAACTTAATCTTGTAAAACCTGTCTCTAACTTCCACTACTTTTAAAGTTCATTTAAGCTGGCATTGCTTAAAGAACTAGCAATGGAGAGTTCTGATGCAAAAGTAAATATATTGTGTCTCAACAGACAGCTTACACATTGACATCTAACTTCTGACAATTCTTTGCTTTCAGGTCGAGAGAACAGCTTTGAGTCATTAGATCTGAAATTTGTCAACTTCACAAATCCCTGGAGCCCGAGGCATTTCATCGTCCAGTCCAAACTCCACAAGACAGAACACAAGACTGAGCGATCTGCTGCTTTCCGCTTTGGCAAAAAGTTCCCTCGCTATGTGCACTTTTACAACCCAAATGAGAAAAATAAATGGGGGCAGCAGAAAGGTTACCGAATTCAGTTCAACTCACATGCCCACAGTGTCCTTCCAAGAGGCTGGAGAGAAGAAAATGGCATCAGTTGGTCAAGGTAATCAAATATTTTCCCACTATTTTGCTAGAAAAAAATTTATGATGTAAGTATGGCACCACCCCAAATGCCGGTTCTTCATCTTTATCTTCATCTTATACGCATTGTCCAAAATTCAGTCATATTTGGCATCTTTGGACACATTAGGATCTCCACTAGTTTTTGTGCATTAGAGCAAAGTTTGCACACAGAACACAATTTGTTTGTAATGATTGACCCCACAGAGGATCAATGGGGTTAAAGTTCTTAATCCTTGGATTAGGAGTTTGTTTGAAATCAGGTCAAAGTAGAGTTGGATTGGGAATCAGTGGAAGAGCACCAAACAGTCACCACTGGACTATTCAGGTGAAGTGTTTGCAAACTGTGTAACTTAAATGTACAAAAGTATATACCCATTACAACGTTGCTTTCTTGGCAGCGCCGGAGTCCATTTAATTCCTCACTAATCCAAAAATTGGCTATGAGGTAGGGTGTGTGTGGAGACGAGACTTTGATGCATGCTGGTTCAATAACTGTGGCAAGCATACGCTCCCGTTAGCATCATTACCAAAGCTGGGCATCTTGCTCGAAGGCTAACCCAAGGCTAAATCATTTGCTGGCTAAGTAGCTAATTAATGAGCTAAGCTAACAAGCCAGGTATCATACATGCAGACACAGATATCTGCGTATTAGTGCTATAATTTTACTCACCTCAGATAACAGGAGCGCAGACTTCCTCTGTTAGTTTTGTTAGTCAGTTAACCACAGAGCAAACCAGATTATTTGTCCGACATTTACATGAAAAATCCTCCCAAAGACACCACACAGCTGAGAGGTCTCGCTCAGTAACTAGGCTAGCCAAATGTGACAGCACCTATGTGTCACACAAAGCAGCTACACTCTAAATTGTGCATATCCTTAAGCCTTGATAAAATTTTAAATGTTGAGTAATATAAACTTTCACCCCTGTACAGTTGTCATGAATAAATAGTAAATTAGCTATAGAGACCAAAACCGTTTTTCTTGTACCAGGCTGTAAACATGTTTATTTCTGCTATAAAGTTGGACATTTTAACATGTTAATCTATGGGGACTGACTCACTTTTGGAGCCAAACTCTAGTGGCCGTTCAAGGAACTGCAGTTTTAGCCACTTGGTCTTGACAAACACTTCAGGCAGCAGGAATAACATCCACTTGCTAAAAGGCTAACAAGCTAACAGGCTGACTCTGCAAAATGAAAGTTCCCAGTCAGTCCCTTCGGTATTCATCATCATCATCATCGTTATACAGGCAGGAGTTTGACGTGCAGGGGTTTTCATGGGCTGCGAGTATCAGCAACAACTGAGTCAGGTTATGTTGAGTATTCAGGTCTTATGAAAGGTCTCTGCAATAAAAGCTATAGGATGGGAAATCAGCAGTTATCAGTTACTCACCACTCACACTGCTTAGAGTTAAATGTTGTCACACTGCATGAAAGCTGAAAAACACTGTTTAAGGTGGTAATGTTTCCACTTGGAGTTAGTTTGGTAACATATAAAAGCTGAAAAGGCGAGAGTGCGAGCATATGCCTATTTTCTTGAGGCAATATGTACCTGTACAGACCTGGTATGAATCAAACTTGCAAAAGAATCAGTAGAAAAGAACCACTCACATATCAACAGAACTGAATGTGCCAGTATCCAATAATTAGCCTACTACATTTTAAATGGTAAAATAAGTTAACACGAGGAAGAAAAACTCTTTTTGAAATGACTACTTGACAGACAGGCTGATGTGTTGTTCCTCTGTATGAATTTTTTGTCTCTTAGCTGTCAGAATGACAGGTAATGTAAAAACCTGACTGGTGAACCGTTTTCTCTGCAGGTACCCTCTGGCTGTGACTCGTCATCGAGAGAGTGAAGCCACCAGCAGCAGCATTTACACCCAGAATGACCCCTGGGAACCTGTTGTGTCCTTTGAGGACTACATCCGCAACAATGAAGACATAGTCAACCAGGTACAGTAGTGAACATTAATATAGGCATATCTACATTCCCTGTTCATGTACATGACACAGTCCACACTGCTCAGGAAAGGTAAAGCAGACATGAGATCTATATCAATGTTCTTGTTCTCATTAAAATAATATAGAATACTATCTTCCAACAATGTTGAATAATTCCTTTAACCTAAAGGCATTCCACTGAAAAATCCAACATTTTTCATTTTGCAACTAACAAATAATGATAACTTTAAAATCAGTTCACCCAGAATCTTAATGGATCAATACGTTCTCATGATCATAAACCATGGTAACATTGTAACTGGCAAATTGTTGCATGGTTTTTGGAATTTGCTGTGAGTGAGTATAAAAGCAAAATGACATGGACAGTCCCACTGTCATGACTGATTAATGGACACCATCATTTGTGATGTTTAAAATGGATTCCTAGAAATGCTGTTTACATTTTGGGGAAGTGGTGGGGTGTTTTTTCTGAGATGTTACATCATTTGTTTAAGTGTACTCTTCCTAGAAGCATCTGTCATCATGTCTGCTCATGAAAACTTAGGAATGTTTAAATTAATAAAAAACCAGCTGTCCTCTTCTTTGTACTATTCTAAAAATTCTAATGCAATGTTTGCTTTCCTGTGTGCAGGACCTGGTTGCCTGGGTGACAGTCGGCTTCCTGCATGTGCCTCACTCTGAAGACATCCCCAACACAGCGACACCTGGCAACGCAGTGGGCTTCTTCCTCCGACCCTTCAATTTCTTCGATGAAGACCCTTCGCTGGCATCCCGAAGCACCGTCATTGTCCGGCCAGGCCAGGATGGCAAACCAAAGGTCCAGAGATGGACGCCTGAGGTCATAGGTCACTGTGTGACAAACAAGCCATTCTTTTACAATGGCACTTATGCAGGAGTCTAGAGGTGTTTCAGGGTTTTGCCAAAAGGTATTTTAGCATAAATATAATTTTGCTCCATTAAATTGTACAAGCTCAGATTAATAACAATTCCTTGAATTATATAAAGTCAGATTTATTGTCAGTAATGTATGTGGCAGCATTATGAGAAACAACAAACCCATGTAAAAAAAAAATTTAAAAAGATGATTTTGTGAACCTTTCTCATAAATTATGCTTCTCAAAGCTGGTCATATATAACTTAGGTTATAGAGGTAGAGTGAGAGTCTACACGTTGCACTAACAATTTTCCACTCATGTCTGACTTATTTGCTGTCTCTCTCCAATCCTGCTGCATCAAATTAAGGGGGTGGGGGGGTCCAATAATCCTGTGTTGGGTCTCCGTGGCTGAGGTTTAGCAGCAGCAAGCATCCAGGATGCAGGATGCTCTCTATCCGCCCTACTGGGTGTAAACTGCTCTGCTCGCCTCCCCGGAGGGAATGTTTTTGCTGTGCAGACAACAGGCCTTACAAAGCAAACAGCCTGATTCCGGATCCTTCCCCGCAAACAGTCCAGGATACCTGGCTGCGCCGTCGCCCCTGGAAACTGATCTTTACATACAGTGTGACAGAATGTACAAAACACATGTAACTGCTTTGTCCTTTATGCACACATTCCTGACATAGCCATGTCACGTATGTTTTTTCATGTATGTTTTTTATTTGATGATTGAAACTTTTCTGTATTAAACAATAATCAATAAACAAAGTCTCTGTTTCCCAGCATGCTAAATATAACTTCTAAGGAAATCGGTGGACTTTGCAGTTGGAAAGTCGGTTTGTGTGAAGGGTAAATACGTGTTTTTGAGGTGGGTGAAAAAGAATCTAGCCAACAACTGTTGTCACAGTCTAAGAATCCTTTTTATAGGTGTGTGCCAGTCTTTTACAGTGCACATTATAAAAGAGGGATAGTATGAGAGCTATGCACGCATTAATGAATGGACAACGTTAGAGGAGGGGACAAAAAGACAATGCGAATTGGCTAACAAGCATTCCTATAGCTATTCCCATAGCAATGATGGTCTTGACGTTGCAGCTGTAGGACAGAACTGAACATAACACAGTTTGTTCGTTCTAAACTGGCGTAGACACATTTTACATTAAAAAAATCGTCTAAGCATTGTGAAATTTTATTTCATTCATGCCTCTTTGCCGTTAAATCATGTCTTCAAATCTTTCTGTAACTGCATTCTGAAATCAGTGAAGATATGTTTTAATCAGACTTAATACTGATTTACATTTATTTAAAACCATTAAAAGTTGTTTTATGTGACAGCACAACACACACTGTTTCCCTGCTTGTTTAGTAGGACACAAATCACAGTGCCTTCATAATACTGTACATATAGTCTAAACTTAAAGATACCTATGGAAAGAGAAACTCTGAAAGTTCATGCACCAAAGAGAGAAAAATTTGACAAATAAGTACAAACAAATAAGTATATCCTTCAAGAAGATGAGATCATTGTGCCTGAATTAAAAGCCTGCGATTTTAGATGGTGAGTTGTTGCCACCTAGTGGTTGCTTGAATAATGGCTTGTCTTATTAGATGATCAGCTGATCCTGCCTATGATGCCAGGCACATGCCATGAATGTGCTTTGAAATATTTTATTATTATTATTATTATAAAACTGATGTGAACATATCAACAATGATGCTTATAGTTGTGCTTTTTATTATCATCAACACGTCAGCGTCAGAGACTTTTCTGATCATACAGTAGATACTCCTTTCTACTGCGTAAGGAAATTTAAATTGGTCGAGTAAACATCTTTATTTTCAAGTAGAAATGATCTTGATTTAAAAGGACAATGCCGATTTTACACATGGGTTAACTCATCATGGGGAGTCCTGCTCATCTGAAAAGAGTTGTTATAATGTTGCCTGTGGCTCTGGGGAGGCTTTCTCCAGTCTGAGACAATATCCCCTATAATCTCATCAGAGATAAGGCTACTTGTATATGAAGACAAACAGAAATGAAACAGAAACGGGGCTTGAAAGATATAGAGATTTACCAGGCAGGCGAGGTCTTACCAAATTCCATTATGGAAAGTTAAGATTAGAGTTTTTTGAGCTTGATCCATACGAGGGACTTAAAGTCATTTTGGCCTGTGCTGCATCAATTTTATGAGGTGAAATATCCGACTCTTTTATAAAGAGTCCTAAAATATTAGGTGGCCAAAGTTTAATATGGTATAGTGTAGTTATAGGATTCAGTGATATCATAGATACTTGCTATATTGACGAACTGTACTGCCACCATCACTGGAACTTTTACCTTAAGTCTGGTTTTCAGTAATTCAAACACCTGCTCCACTGGATTGAGGTCAGATGACTTTGTTGTATCATGCTACCCATTTTGTTTTACATAAAAAAGAACCTTAACACCGTGTCTACACAGAAGGCAAAGTGTATGGGCTCCAGAAAATGGGGTTATGGTTGGGGAATGTCACCAGGGCTGTTTGATGCAAGGTCATACAACATGTCACGTGTGTGGATATATGACACTACCTTGCCACACTAATACTGTGTATGTTTTAAGGATATAGTAAAAGCAATCAAAAATTGATCACATTAAAATAAAAAACTAAAGGAGAAATTCCCTCACACATAGCCTGGCTTGTGAATTTGCATCCTTCCTCCCTTCCTTCCTTCCTTCCCTCCTTACGTTCTTAGTTTATCTTCCCTTGTCTATTTCCAGTTTTGGCTTTGCTCTAATCATCCATCTGTTATTATCAATAGATGATTAACGCTCATTCATTTAAGCCTTTGTGTGAACGGGTCAGTGTGACTTGGGTATGGAAATATCACATAAGTTTGAATGATCTACATCCTGTTTGACATTCTGTAAGACCCAGCTACAAATATCCTCTGAACATGAATCAGGAAAACAGCAGAGTTTTTCCAGTGGTGTGTAACAGAAGGATGTAACAGTAAACACATTTGTACTGAGGGAGTGTCATCATCATTAGACCATATAACTGGCAGCTGAAGAAGCTTGAGTCTTATTTCCCGCCTTCCAAGTCAAACGTACTTTTCACATTGTCATTAAAATGCGGATTAAAAAAATATAACTTCCTGTTGTGTCAGAACACTGTGTAATACACTGGTCAATTAATAACGGATCAAATGACTGTGGAACGAGAAAGCAGTCATAGTGACAAACCCTTAGCTCAGATTGAGTAGGATCAGTGGAAAAAGTGTCGACCACTTACTGTCTCTAGTTGCTCCCTTCTCACACTCCAGAGGGAGGCCAGCATATCCATGAGCAGGACTCGCTACCTCTTCGATGAAGCGTGTTGGAGCACCCTCCTCCTGTTCCTCCACGTCCACATCCACCCTCCAAGACACTGGCTGCTAGGCCTCATGTCATCTGTTTCTGGATCGTGCCTTTTTATGTCCCAGCACTGCGGTACATAGTCTGCAGGACATTAGGTGGTCCAGCTGCCGTCTGTGACTCTGACTCTGTCAACATGTTCTTGTGAACAGGATAACTCAAAATTAAATACATAGTAGAAACTTTATACCTACACCACAGGTACTCTATAAGGAGTAAATGATCTGATTAGATTACAAGGCACCTTTTAGCATATTTTGCATATTGAGAGAACACTGGTTTCACCTTAAAGCTACAATATGCAAATTCCCCAAACTCTAAAACTTGATGCTTTAATTATTAAATCCAATCTGAAATAATCTGTAATGACTCCTTGTATTCTTTTATTCTTATTCATTTTCATTCAATTTTATTTTAAGACTAGATTATTGAGAATTTGTGGACATTTTCATGTATGTATTATGATGTCATCTGAAATGGAAATAGAAAGCTAAATGGAAAGCTAAAATATTCTAAACAAATATTGAGTAAATACAAATTTAGTATATCAAGGGGATTAGACCCCTATTGGTTGCAGCTTTTTAACTAAAATGGTAACTTTGTCCAGGTGTATCTACCTCATCTATTCAATCGCTTTTAAGCTAAAACTAAAACTAAAAAGATGATTGTCATATCAATGTTGTATTTATATGAAAACAAAGCAATATCACTACTGATTCATTCATTCATTTTGCATTGTGACTGTTATCTTAAAGACTCCCAGTCAAATGCTCACTATTTCACCAGCAGGTAATTTTGTATTGGACAGTAGACATTTTTAATTACAACTTTGCCCCTCATATGACACCTATCTGGAGCAACAGCAGCTGTCTTGTGCACAGAAATAAATCTATATGTATAATGATGGTCAGTTAACATCAGATTTATTTCCTGGGCTTATAAATGAAAAACTCTCTTCGCTTGAAACTCAATAAATCCACCACATAAAAGTTGCATACATGCTAGCGAAGGAAGAACAGTTCACACTGAACAGTGCCATAACCCTGTAATTAATTTCTTCATATCATCCATCTTATGTTTGCAATAAATACAACAGACCACTTTTTCTTCTCCTGCTCACACACCAAAGTGTTTTAGGATGAAACGATGATAAAATATCTGGTTTATTGACCTTTGTAGGTGATGGTATAATTTTTGACTCCTACTAAATGACAAAGAAAAAAAATGTTTTCATTCATAAAACAAGATTCCTCTTTCCCTCTGTTTCTTTTGGACCGCACTGTAAACAGTTGGCAACTTGTTGAAGACCTACAATAAATGTTTTATATTTATTTTAGATTCCATAATATTGTCTTTAAATGCGTTGTTAATAAAGTTACACCGAACATCAACAACAATAATATAGTCCTGGATGTCGTGTTCAAAGATGGCGCCTCTTTCAGTCCAATGAACGCTGCTCACGGGGTCCTACGACATCCACGTCTTCTCAAATCGAGCGTGCGTGTGTGAGACTTCCGCTGACCGGGCCTATTCTTTTCGGTGGGGCTCAAACTGCCGCATGCTGAACGTCTTCCAGCCGCTCCCCTCCCACTGACTGTGAGCCTCGTTCCCGGAAGAGAGAAGAATAACAAAGGTAAAGGTGTACGCTGCTCTGTTTTCGTGTGTCTGTTAGCACTAGTGTCAGTTAGCACTTACGGATAGCATCCCGGCTGTAAAGCTTTTCAGTCCATCCGTATCAATGCAGTTGTTTTTCTTCTTTTTTGGTGTTAGTTTGGATGGACATTACCGGGGCGTCTGACACTGAAAAAAGCGTTCATCTTCTCCACTGGCGTGATCACTCGATCATGATTGGACCAAAATAGTCACGTGACACATGTAATTGGAGGACGTAACACAGGTGTGACGTAATAAAATGTGCAAAATCTACAGTTTGCCCTAATCTAAATAGGATAATAATTTCATGGTCTACATGTGTTTCAGTGTTAATGTGAAATGGAAAATGAGTTTTGTACGTTGGCCTGGAGTTACCTGAATTGAAATTCACTTACTAACTAACTTGAGAAAACGCATGCAAATAAACAAAACACAAACAAAAACCAGAAAACAACTTCATCAATTTGACAACACGTGCTGCAAATACTCACACACAACGGGTTCAAGTCCAACCTGTGGCCCGTACCTTAAATAATTTTAAACTTTAGTGCTGCAGAATGTAAATGTACTTACTTTATAATTTATAAAGACAATCGGTAAACAAGAACGAAGTGTTGCGTCTACAATAACAAAGCATCAACAGTAGGGCTGCACAATTAATCGAAATTAAAATTGCAATATGGCCAAGTGCAATATCCAAAATCGCAGGAGCTGCAATT